GCGCAGCGAAAGACGTGGCATTCAAATGTGTTGGCATCTCGCATGGGCCAGAGGAAGGTGAAGAGAGACGGGTCGTCGACCTGGTGGAAATGGGCGCACGTATTCGTGCACATTGCGTGTTAGAATAGCCTGAAGCACCTGGTCACTATGCTTACCGAGCATCAGGAAGCTCACCCGGAAGTAGGGGATGCGCCACAAATCGTATTGCTGGCGCAATTGCGTGCGCTCGTCTTCAACCTATGCACCACCCGTTGAAAACATGGTCACGACTTTGGAAAACACACACACACACACACACACACACACACACACTCACACATCACATCACATCACATCACATCACCCAAACTGGCGATGCAAAGTAGCCCAGACGCAAGACGGGTCGAGACGCACGACAAAGCCGTGCTCCGAGATGGAGAGCAACACATTAGCTGTTCGTGGCCGATTCCTCTGCACAAGTCAGCACACAGTCACATGAGCGGTGTGGGTGGAAACGGGCCAATCCCTCGGCCAGCAGGGTGTGTGTCATACACCAGATACGTTTCGCACATGGCAGTGGGCTACGGCAATGGAGGTGGCTTCGGCAAAGCGATTGCTTGAATCCGGCGGGCTCACTGTCATACAAGCCAGGCTCTACGCACTCGCACCGCCCCCCAAAAAAGGACCACCGGCATCGACAAGCACTGATCAGCAAGCGCTTGAAGGGCCCCCAGTATTTCCTGCTACAAGCACATACCTTGACCTGAAACGACATGCTGGGCAAGCTCATGGCGCTGCGTTTGGGCCGGGCCGTTTTCAGGATCGAGTCCTGGTCGCTCCCTCAGATTGCAAAAATAATCTGACAAACGGTATTTTTTTTGTTTGCTCTGACTGCCTTCGTTGTCTGGAGTGATGTCGCAACTCGCCGAGCAGCTCTCTCCGCCGAACAGCGCCGGCAGCGCGTTTGAAGATGAGGCCAATGCGGTGACCGCCGCGGCCGCGGCTGCAGCAAGGTAAACCAGATCAGTGCCAAGGGGTGACATGGCAGATGAAAGGGGACCGGGGCGTTTTCATGGTTCAGTGCAGTGAATGGCGATGGGATTCGCTTGTTGTTCCGAGTGGAGTGATATCAACCAACAAACGGCTCCTGGGTACCGTGGGGCAGCGCGCACCGCACGGCCGTGGCTGTACGATGTGCAGCTGCACGACTCGGTGCATGCGTTTCCCAATGCTGATTGATATGGCGATGCGGATGTCAATGCTGCCAAGCACATGTGGCATGCGTGCAACCAACACACATTGCGGACAATGGAGAAACCTCCTTAAGTTGAAATGATTAGCTTGGCTGCCTCGGCCGTTCTTCTCACGCCTTGCCATGGTGTGCGCTTGGGAATCTTGACAGTCAAGCGCGCACTGAGGTGGTGTCGCGCGTCCTCGTCATCAACACGGGAGGCACCATTGGCATGAAGGATTCAGAGCATGGTTTGTTTCAAAGCTTCCCCCGTTCAGTATGCACGTGCCCGAGGGTCCTCTTTGCCACGGTTTTCGCCCTTAACCAGTCTTGGCCTGTGTCCCTGGCTTCTTCCAGGCTATATTCCCATCCCTGGCTTCTTGGCCAGCATTGTCCGTGACCTCAGTATTCTCAATGACAAGTCATACGCCCTGCACCACTTGCAACAAAGCCACGACACAGGTGTGCGCGTGTCGCATTTGGCCCGGGCATGCTCTCATCAACGGCGACGCACCTGAAAGCTGATCCCATTCTCCAGGGCAGCACCTGATTTTTCATGACCATGCCACCCTGATCTTGATGCCATTTTCCTTACAGGTTGCGTCACCCCTGTGCTGCGCCTTACACCACAAATGCATCGACGCATCTACTATGAATTTCTCGAGTACGCCCCTTTGCTCGACTCGAGCTGCATGGTCAGTATAGTCCCCTATATTCAACACCACCACCACCACCACCACCACCATCCCGCGCATGTTCCCTTTTTTTGGGTATACCATTCCAGCAAAACTGTTTGCTCAAGTTTTTGGCTTCAAAACGTACGCCCACAGGACATGCGATCCTGGTCGCGCATCGCCGATGATATCTGCCGCTTCTATGACAAATACGACGGCTTTCTCATCATTCATGGCACTGATACGATGACGTACACAGGTACTGCGCCCAGGGCCAGTTGTCTGCCAATGCCACCCCGCACCGATGCTCTGGGCCGTCCGACTCCGGCTACGCCCTCACCTGCTGCTGAACCGCGTTGCTTAGCATCCGCGCTCTCCTTTATGCTGGAAAACTTGGGCAAGAGCGTTGTCATCACCGGTGCCCAGGTACCTTGTTTCGCCCTATTCATGATTGGCTAAGAGCCTTCGCACCACAGCTCACCAGAAATTACCATCATGCCCCCCAATCGTGTGTCAGCTGCCGCTGGAAGCCATGAATTCAGATGGAATCGCCAACTTCAGCGGCGCACTCTCCGTGGCCGGTTGCTTTGTCATTCCAGAGGTATCCGCTTTTTGAAATGCTTCCAAGTATGCTGGGATGTCAGGCGGATTGTGTCATTCAACGTCAAATCTTAGCCTTCAGCCTGTTTGCCTAGGTAACCATCTACTTCAGCGACCGCTTGTATCGCGGCAACCGAACGACCAAGGTCAGAGCTCTTGTGCAGTTTTAGTAATTGTCTTCCTTTTGGACCCCGGGCCTGACCTAAGAATCATGCCCTCAGATGACCGCCTTCAGTTTTGATGCTTTCAAGTCCCCAAACTATCCTCCACTCATGGAGCTGGGTGCTGGTTCGTCTTTCCGTTTGTCGCCTTATGTGCTTCCTCTCCTGGTGTGCTTCCTCTCCTGGTGTGCTTCCTCTCCTGGTGTGCTTCCTCTCCTGATGTGCTCGCGTATCAATCAATCTGCTTTTGGTGTAGGTGTGATTGAACGCCGCGAGCTCATTCATCGTCCGACGGAGATTGAGCGCTTTCGCGTGTCGGGGGCTTTGGACCCCAATGTCTGCGTCATTCGGTAGGTCTTGATTTGCTGATCGCGTCCTGTTGCGATGGATGACTGTCTGTCTAACCTTGAACATGTGTGCTACTGCGTAGAATTTTTCCCGGCATCACGGCACAGGCTCTTCGTGCGTTCTTGGCCCCACCCATGCGAGGTAAATTTCTTCACAACCAGCCAGCTCTTGTAGATTTTGCACTATACGTTTACTGCTTCCCCTGCCATGGACGTATACGTGGGTGCATGATGTTTTGTTCACAAACCTGTTTCGTTGTTAGGTGCCGTTCTTCAGACCTATGGTGCCGGCAATGCACCCGACGACCGGCCTGAGTTGTTTGAGCCCTTTCGCGAGGCTACGGCGCGAGGCTGCCTCATCATCAACTGCACACAGTGCATTCACGGCAACGTCACAGACTCATACAAGTTTGTCCCCCATCGTGGTCATATCAAAAATAGCAAATTTTCCACCAAATTACTCAGTCTTTGATCTGCTTCTGTGTGCACACTTGTGTCCCGTAATGTGCGCGTGTTAGGACTGGACGCATGCTGTACGAAACCGGCATCCTACCCGGGGCGGACATGACACCTGAATGTGCGCTGACCAAGCTCGCATATGTCATTGGCTTGGTCAGTGTTGCCGACCGACCAAAATGGTCCATGCCCTGGCTCACAATCATCTTCGTGCTGCTAACATAAACTACCGTGCTCAATGACGACAGAACGTGGCACCAGACCAAGCTCGGAGCCTCTTGATTCGCAACCTCCGAGGAGAGGTACGTCAACTGTCAAGCTTGCAATGAAATCCCAACCCAGGATGATGCAGCCTCTTGTTCATGCGCCATGCACGCCTTTGGTCCTTAAACATCCGCCGCTGGCAGCTGACAACGGCAGGGACGCCCACTCGCGACGCCCGAGCCAAAGGGAATGCGTTTTTGCGGTCCATTGCCGGAGCTATGGGGTAGGTCCGTGATTCCAACGCAGGGATCTCACTGCGCTTTGGTTGTTTCTTGCCCGACCTTGCGTCTTCGAGATTGTCACCATCCTTTTTCCTTAATTGTCTCGCCCACTATGTCTGTAGGGCCAACGAAGAATACGAGCAGATTCGCACGGCTCTGCAGCCACTCCTCATGTGCACAGCTGCCAATCGCGGTGATTTGGTCTGGCTCAAGGAGCTTCATGTGGGTGACAAACTGGCTTCAACTCTCACCCCCGCCAGGGAGGCGGGAAACAAAGTGATTCAACCATTAAGCCACGTGCGCTAACCATTGTCCTTGATCGCACGACCCGCTTCAGGATGAAGGACTGGATTGCAACAGTAGCGATTATGATGGACGTACCCCGCTGCACCTGGCCAGTTCCAATGGCCACCGTGGTGTGGTCGATTTTCTCTTGCGTGCAGGCGCCTACGTGCATGCCAAGGATAGGTACTCACTTCGATCAGCAGATGCCTCAATACGATGTCACCCTGAAGAGTAGTTTGACATACAAAATCCGGACAACTGCTCACAGGCTCAATGTGCCCTTGGCCCGCTTGCAGATTTAATTGGACACCGTTGCGCGATGCTGTGCAAGCCCAGCAACTGGAAATCATTGAGGTATGCTTACCACCCAGAGCCGGCGCAGCCTGAAGATGATGGCGTCTCAAACGCTCCACCCAGGCCTTTTGCGGCTATTCCGTGCAGCAGTTTAACCATACTACCTCTTTGATGGGCAATTGCAGCTGCTGCGCCAGGCTGGGGCTCACCTCGGCCTGCCTTCCTATGAGCTGGCCGCTTGTCTGGCATCGGCTGTTGTCGGCGTACGTGCCCCGCCATGTTCTTTTAAAAATTGCACTTGTTTTTGTTTGTTTGTTTGCTTGTTTGTTTGTTTTTTTGTTTTGTTTTTTTTGCAAATGTTGTGCATGTTTTGTGCATGTTTTGTGCATGTGTGGAGGAGAGCGCGCAGGAGAGATAGGATGATTTTTTTTTCCTACCAGCCCACTTGAAAAACATCTCTCACCACGGACCTGAATGATGCAATGTTTCATGTTGGACACGACACGACATAGAAACCCAACACGGTTCACTTGTGGCTTGCGGCTGGTGCCGACGTAAATGTACCTGATTACTACGGCCGCACTCCACTCCATGTCGCCGCCTCTATTGGAAATATGGTATGCGGGGGAGCTTCTGGGTTGTGGCCGTGTCTCTCGCGCTTTGGCGTCTCACATGATGCCTGTTGGTTGGGTTCATGGTGAGCGCAGGATCTCATCGAACTGTTCTGCCAGTCGGGGGCTCGAACCACGCTGTTTGATAACGATAACAACACTCCATACTCCCTGGCCGTGGAAGCGGGGCATGAAGAGGCGGCCGACCTGATTGCCAAATTTGCCGCGCTTGCGGCGCCAACGGGTGAATCAAGTGGCGTGTCTGGCTCAGAGCTGCACGAGCTGACAACCCGCCGGACCAAGATTATGCGTCACCTGTGTCGCAACTCGCCATCACCGACACGCTCCATTAGCAACTCACCCAGCCCCACTGCTCCACGCCGCGTACTGACCCGCCGTCAGTCTGAGCCAAACATGACCCTTGTCCAACATACCGAGCTCGGCCAACGCAAGTCTTCAGCAAAGGGACCGCGCTCTTAGTATCGCCCAAAGGCTCCCATTACGATGTATGGACGTGGACAGCCATCGTGTAGATGGCCTCAGCTCAACCATGTTCTGATGAAGAAGGTGGCAAAGATGAGCCTTTTGTGTGCCTTGACCTCGACTAGTGTGCTAGACTGAAAGGTGTATCATATTCTTTCATGCAACCCAGTCGCGTGGCCTCCCTGCGACTTCACATGCCAACCTGGACAAGCCTGTCTATATGAACAATTCAAAACCAATGAAAGAATCAACAAAGACACTCTACGAGCCCTCTATCACAATAGATTTCAAACACAGAAGGTGAATTCTTTCAGCGGATATTTTAAGGCGTCGGTGCTGCCGGTGACTGCGAGCGCAAGCTCCATGACGCTTTGTTTTGGTCTGAGACCGAGTCGTCGGTTTCTGGGGTTTGGTTGTTTGCCTTTGCGCCAAGAACCAGTGCTGACCGACCATGACGTGGCTCAGCGTCCTCTTCGTGATGCAATAGCATATATGACACGGTCGTCACCACCAAGACTGTGAAAACGACCAGCGCGATGGCCAGTACAAACTCCTGTGGCAAGTCACCATACACGTTGCTTGAGCCCACAAGTAAAAAAGGACTGGCTTCCGCAACAGCACAAAAGAAGCCCAACGTGTGAACCCTGTTTCAAGCACAACATACCTGAGCCGCCTGAGACTGGGCCGCTTGCACGGTCGGGTTGGTGCGCAGAAACTCCATGACAAAAGCCTCCCGTTCTTGAGCATCTTCAGTCACCGTCTCCAGATGCTGGCCCAACCGACGCACAAGCTCGGGTCTATGTCACACCGGCCATGTATCGTGAGCTACTCTGCACGCCGGCGCTCTCTGCGCAGTGTAGCCTCGTTCTGAACGTACCGAAGCCAAAGCTGCCGAAAGACGTGGGTCATTTCCTGGAGCGGCTCCGTTGTCTCGCTCAAGCTCTGTCGCTCGCATTCATTCATGCAGGTGCACACATGTGCATGCATGCCCATGCATCAGAAGGGTGGCAAATAGACGGCATAGATTGGTACGAGTCGAGCACTACGACACGACCAACCTGAACAACCACGGTCAGCGGCTGATTGATCTTCGACTCAATCAAGGCCGCATTAAGTTCACGCATCGCTTCGACGCGGTTTTCCACAATGTCTCGCACAGAAGCACGCACCTAGCAGCCAGAAGAAGGCGGTGCTTAAGACACCAGACAGATCTGCTCCAGCTCATGCCATGTGCGACTAGTTTTACCTCAAGTGCAATCGCCTCATCGTGGTAATCGGCCAGAAGAGATGCACCCAAGGCTTGTTCAATCGCCTCTCGGTATTGCTGCTCAACTGCCGACGCCTTGCGGGGAGTCATGGGCTCCGTGATGACAGCAAGCTATGCATAACAAAGCACCACAATAATGGTTGAGACCAACTGGCACGCAGGGAGAAAGGCGTTGTTGGACATACGAGATGCTCCAAGCGAGCTGTAAATCGTGTCAAGTCGATGACGCAAAGATCTGACCGTGTGGGTATCAAGAATCTCATGGCTGGCCTTGGTCAGCAGCTCTTGTAAAAGGTGTTGCTGCTCGCCTACCACAGACTGGGCATGTTCCTGGACGTACGTTTGAAATAAAATAAAATCCTATCCCAGTCGGCCCGAAGCACATGGTTGGTCGCAAAAAAGCGATGCCGAAAGCAAAAGAAAAAATGAAAGTGAATGACTGCATTGCAGGACGGACATTAAAAATGGCCCGCAAACGTACTTCCTCGGGCAAATCCCCGTCAGCGCACATGTGCTCTGCCTTGGCCGCCAAAGATGTGAAGGGCGCAAAACATGTGGCATTGCGTCGAGCAAACCCAACAGACGACAAGTCGCGTGGGCCAGAGGTCTGCGCAGAGAGGCAGTCGCGAAACGCTGAAAAGGCCTCAGCTAAGCTTTGGCGCATGGCAGTCGCTAGCCCGGTGGTCAGCTCAAGCGCACGCTGGCTGATAGCGCCCTGGCAGACCTGCACATTCACAAGCACGTATTTACAAGATGAGGTTCTTTCCGTGCATGTCTGTGCGTCGAGGGAGACAAGACCGGTGCATGACACACACCGAAGTGGCATTGTTCAGCAGGTACTTTGCCGTTGTATCATTGTGAGCAACACATTGCTCCGCAGTCGGTCTCAGCGAGTTGCGAAGCACTGCGGGTCCACGAGCAAATTGGCATTAGCCAGGGCTCCTGATACACGAAACAAAACTCGAGAAAGTGGGACAAGGCCAAACTGTACTGAGCACATACCTTGCTCAAGGTGCGCTTGCAAATCTTTCTTCAGCTCTTTGGTGCTGGACGCATTGGCACGGGCGGCCATGGCGACAAACTCGGCCACAGCTGCATCCAAACGAGAGCGAGCCGAGGCCTGCGGTCGAGTGGGTACACTACGTGAGTCAACGACGCCAAAAACAAACAGTGAGAGCCCGGAACTTGACGATATTGCACCTCCAGGCGCAATGGGCGCAGTGTGTTGGCCTGGGTCGCTGCTTCTTGCAGTCGTCTCTCCAATTCCTTGGGAAAGAAAAGGGAACCGGCGCAACAAGGTGGTAAGCACAATGTCTTCAACTGCATCGAGCACGAGTTCCGAAATATCTGAGACGAACAGCGGTGTCACTGGAGTTGGCAGCTTGGAGGTTGAATAAATTAAGGGCCCGCGCCTGCGCCATGCTCATCTGTGCTGTAAAATCTGCTTCACAGACTGGCAGAAATTGTTCGACAACAAATTGATAGGCCTGCACATGAGCGATATGAGTAAGCCGGCCCGGAAAAAGACATCCCCAGTGGATTATGTCAGCCATGCTGAGAAGCCATCATGTCACTCGTTTGACCACAACACGGGATGGCCAATGCAGTCTGAAGCATTCAGCTGTTTCTTAACGCACCTGTAAAGAGGACCGGATGGCTTGAGCTTGCCGATGCAACCGCATGGCGGTGGCGGCTTCTTTGGTGGCTGACACGACTGCCTGTCCCTCCTGGGCTGCCTGTGAGTTGCGCACAAGCACAATAGGTACAATGCCATGAGTCAGATGAATCGGCAACAGATGGCTGCCAGATGCGGCTGGCCAATGCGAGCTTGGACGTATTGAATAAGGGGCAGCATCAGACGTGAGCTTGCCTGAACAAAGTTGCGCAAGCGTGCCACGAGTTCTGGGCCTTGGAGTGCACGCTCAGGTTTAAAATAGAGCGCTTGACGTAGCTTTGCCAGCTGCTCTCGGAAGGTTGGCGCGTGTGCATCGTGCTCCGAGCCTGCAAGAATGTTTCGTGAGCAAACAAGACCGCATGACACAATGCAAGACCAACTGGAACCTTGCTCGCACCATCCAGTAACGCTTGATTATCAGCACCCGCCACAGCCTCGGCCATAATTAGGAGATGAAGGCCATCGAGGAGGTGCGCAATGGGGTCTACGGCTCCCGGCATGGCGTTTTGCTCCCACTAAGAGGCAATCGATACCACACGCAGTGCACGGAAGTGTTTACGTCAGAATAGGAGTGGCTTGGAAGAAGGCGCAAATGAGCACAGGACCACACGATGCGCAGTCGTGCTGCCATACCTGTCGGGCATCCCAACTGAGATTAAAGTGCATCTGAGCTAGTTGGCGCCCCACACCTTGAATGGACAGGAAAAGGCTGGGCTGCGTCTGTCCTTCCAAGACTCGTGAAACGTGCCCCTCCTGGGCTGCCAGTTTGGCCTGCAGCACCAAGCCTGCACTATTCAAGACAAGATCCTGTCGGGCCCAGCAGCTGAAATTAGAGGGGCAGACCATGCGAAGAGGTCACAAGCTCGATATTGCTCTCACATGAAGGCGTTCAAGGGCAGCACCATCCATGTATCGATAAGCATTGTAGACAAGTCCGTCCGCCACGCTGGCTGCCAAGCCAAAGATCTGCATGTGATCATACCACGAACGGTCTAACCATCAAAGAGGGCAAAGAATCCGTGAGATGGCATGGCTAGATTCAAAAGACGAGCCTAACAAGGATGGGAGCACGGCTTGCACGAAGCAGGAACAGACCGGCAGCATCCAGGCCCTCAGTGTCAAGGATAAGCACGTGAGCACCGTTGATTGACACGGGTTCCTCTGAGACCCACAAGCCCTACACAAGGCAGACATCATTCAATTCACCACGCGCGCTGGAAGAGGAAACGGGGCATTTAAGATTCACACCCGTACCCGAGTGGTTGAAGCCAAGCCATGACCGACGAGAAAGGGCGAGTCGACATTGTGAGCGAGTTGATTACAGAGAAAGGATTTTCCCGAACGCGCCCGCCCTGTCACAGCCAGAACGTGTACAGGGTCCTCCAGCTGCACGCAGGCACAACCATGAATAGGGAATAGCAGAGCTGCAATGCCACGGTGTCTGATGAGCAGCAACAGCAATAATCAGTAACTGACCGCCTCCAGCGCGGCAAGAGTTGTCTCATTGAGGACCAGCTGGTCCAGTTGCGTTGTTCCGGCTTCGGGCGGGAGCAGCAGTGGCAGGCTTGCAGCTGCAGACAGAAGTGCGACCAAGCTGAGTGGTGGTGCCCCTTATCCTTTTGACTCAGCTCTCGGCGAGGACAGGGCAGCACGGGGGCATCGAGGGCAAAAGCAGACCCCAGCTATACCTGCGCTGGCTCCACAATACATGGCGCTGATGCACAGCAAGAGGACCCCGGCCAATCCCAGGCCATGGGCGCCAGTGCGAGGGAGCGGAGCTGCCATGGCAGGCACTGGCGAAACTTCTGTCTGATGCTCAATCGGCTGCGCAGACGAACAATATTGAACGGCAGAAGGTGAGATGCCACGAGTCACGCTGCAACCCTGCTGGCCCCACCTGCCAAGCCACCTTGGCGCCTGAAAGGGTCACACACAATACAGTGACTGTACTGTGCCCGCGTCGATTTTCAAAATTTTCAACTAGAAAATTTGGTGCCCTTTTTTACATGCATGTATTTGGTTCTTTGTTTGTTTGTTTGTTTGTTTGTTTGTTTGTTTGTTTTGTTTTTTGTTTTTTTTGTTTTTTGTTTTTTTTGCAAGTCAATTTCAAACATCTATCCGCATCCTCATCAGTGGGTAAGTTGTCGACAGGGGTGTGTGCTACAAGAAGATGCGAAGTGCCAGAGGGAGGGAGGGGGAAGTTACGGAATCCTAAGGACAGGAGCTGCCCAGAGGGCGCATCGTGAGGCGAAGGTCGGCTACGCCTGCAGAGGAAGAGGCTGCCACGGAGGTCATAAAGCCGTTGCGCGTCAAGATCCAATCATTCCTGGCCTCGAGCGTCACCGGTAGACCCTGAGCAAACACATGAAGAGGAGGACAGCATTGCGTGAAGGGGGTGCGACCATTGTAAGCCGGAACGACGGGACTCGTGCGCAGCGAGCAGGAGCGTACCTGGGCAGAGGTGACATTGTATTGCATGCATGACTGGCCCAGTTGAGAGGTACGGCTACCAGGCCACATCACGGTGATGCTTTGCGCAGCACGATCAATGGACCAGCTGCTGTTCTGTTGGCCTATCCCAACAGCCCCAAGCACCAAAGCAGAATGAGTTCCCAAGTGCAAGCGCAAGTTCAAGTGCAAGCAAGAGGCTGACGCTGCGAAGAAACATGGCGCACCTTCGGTAACAAAGATTGGAATGGTCAAGAAGGAGGAAGTGACATCAATTGCCGTATCCAAGGACACGGCATAAGTGACCTGCTGTGCGGTCACGTTATATGCCTCGCTGATGGCCCGCATGTGAGAATCACTCATGCTGTACGAGATAACATAGCCAATCTGTGCCAGCCAGCCAATTCACGATAGGGGGGTTAGAGGGCGTGATGCAAAGTCAAAAGGCGAATGGCAGGGTCGTGCGCGACATGGCTTTGCCTGCAGGAGCTGACGGCCTTTTGATGAGGACGTACAGAATCATTGCTCCTCGTGGTCAGTCCCCAGGAGGATCCGGTGACAGCCGAATAGTCGATCGTGGCGAAGGAGCTGTTAAAGAACAAGTGGCCGATTTTGGGCTGAACTCCCAGAAGAGCAAAGCCATTGAGCGCGATGCCCTTGCCATAAAACCCGCTCAGGGACAGACGGCAATACTGAGCTGCTTGACCCGGCAATGGAATGGTTTCCCAAGGTAACGGCTCGCCTTGAGCAACCTGCGCCAGGGTGCCTTTCGCCCAAGTGCTCCACGAAGATTCAGTGTTGTTGGTGCACTGCGCGCATGAAACCATGGAGTACAATGAGCCTGGAATTGAGAGACGAGCGAGAGGCCTGAAAGCTAACCTCGAGAACATAGTCGCGTGCGCCGCGATCGTTGTATTCATCGTTGTGGCTGTTGCGGAGGCGCAAAGCATATAGCGGCTGCATCTGATGGAGTTCGATGGTGAAATTGCCCGTGCTCACATCGTCAGGCAGGAGCCAAAGCTTGTCCTGGACATCGTCAGGGTTCTGACTCCACAAAATGTTTTTGGCTGGGAAACGCTCGGGGTCATACGAAGGACTTTCAGATTGCACTTTGCCGTACGAAAGGGTCTACGGGTGCAGCAGATTGCGAGTTTACATTAGCGTGCGAAAGAAAAGACATCAAAATGATATCATTGCGTCAGTCAGCTGAAATGCCCATCAAATCTAGATGGCCATCTCACTGCTAGCCCTTTGTCGGCGGGGAGGAGTACCTGTTCTGAATAAGTCCACATGGGCCCAACGGTCAGCGCGTACGGATTGGGATTGGCCTCTGGGGGTTGTTGCGGCGCACCTGCGTCACGAGCAATCAAATGAGAACGTCAAGGCAAATGAAAAAAAAAAAAGACACCAGGCCATGAAGCAGTGACCTACCAGCGGTTAGGCTGATGAGTGGCTCGGTTCCACGTTGATGCAAGCTAAGAGAGACGGAGCCAAGGGATCGGGAACCAAGCATCAAGATCAGAGAAGCATGCACCACTCAACCACTTGCAAATGGATGGCCCGTTCTGACAAAGACATCTACGCAAGCTCGCGTCAGTCCACTTCCTGCCCCACACTCACCGCGTTAATCCCATGACATCATGGGGTGGTGCATCGGCAAAGGTCTCGCTCTCAACATAGAGACCCCCCACGTTGGATATGACTTTGTTCAGGCTCTGTAGTTGAAAGGCAAAGCCGCCCGTTTCGGAGAGTGCGGGGCGCTCTGGGATCTGAAAGTTGGCCAGCTTGACGGCCGTGGCCAACATGCTGGCTGGCAAAAGGTTGTATTGTCTAGAGTCGTGCATGGAGGCGGCTTTGTGAGTGCTGACAGAGTTTGAAAGCACAGCGTCGAATTTTGGTACAAGAACCCAGGTTGTACGCACGAAAAATAGGAGTAGCCTTCGTAGCCGTGGCGCAAGCTGGGGTCAAAGCGATTCTTGACGATGTTGAGTTCGCCCGAGTCTCGCTGCCAGCGTTGCAATGACTTGACTGAGAGAGCCGCGGCGCGGCGGAACAGGGAGGCCGCGGTGGTTTGGTTTTCTGCTTTCAGACGACTGGCCCAAAATTCAAAGGTCACGGTGGACACGGCTTCATTCCATTGATGCTGAGAAGAGCGGCCGCCTGTGTTGGAGATCAGGTATGGGGTGCAGACAAACACAGCACCGATTCAGTGCAAATACTCGGCACGTTTTCATATGCTATGCCGATCCAGGACCGGTTTGGGCGGGAGCATGCTTAACCACAAGGCAGAAGGCTGACCGGTAGGAAGTTCTCCCCAAGGAGATTGTAGGACGAGTGAGGTCCAAGCGCCACGACGGTTAAACTCCCAGTACCAGGATGCATTCTCCGCGGCATAGCCGTATGCTGCCCGACGATAAGCAGCCCCGATCGAAAGTGAGGTTGACCCCGGCACGAGCAGGCACAGGCGAAGCGCACTCGAGCATACCAAGCATGATCGTGATGTATTTGCGGGGAAAGTGGTCGTAGGGCATTGGACTGCAGCTGCCACTGCAGCCACTGTGGTCCAAATACTCGCCGTTGTCCGTCCACGTCTGTCACGAACGTGGCATCAAAGGAAAAAAAAATGAGGTGGTGCTGCAGTGGCATGGAGTGGGCTGAAGAAAACCCTCTTTGTTGCAGCTCGGCGTACCGCGGAATTGAATTGATAACGAAGCTGTTCGATAATGTCGTCCATGTCTGCGCGCAGACCGAGGTGGTAGCTGGAGCAGGGCAAGTGCGAGTACAAAAAGCGGTGTGAAAAAAAAAAAGATTACTTGTCGGGTCTGAGCTGATGTACGGGCAGCTGTAGGGCATGTGTGAAACAATCAGTTGGCACGAACCGCAGATATTCGCCGGTGAGGGCCACAATGGCCCAGTTGCCGCTGGCGTGGGGCCAGCTGCTGTAGGAGCGTTCAGGCTTGATATTACGTGCCAGATTCGTCCAGCTTGCAAATAAGGAGGCATCGACGGTGCCATTGAGAGACTCCAACGCCAACATAAGCGGCATGGTGTAAAAGTTGCAGTGACCTATCGCAATGACGTTGGCGGAGCATTCAAGCAGGCGGCAGAATCGGATCACCAAGGCGGTCGTAAAGATGAGCTTGGGTGGCAGAGAATACACGGGCAAAGAAAAACTGACCTTGGGCACAACCGTGCTCGCCATTGGGCTGGCCGTACTGCAGCGCGGTGAGAGCGGCGGTCATGGCCAGGCTGACATCGGTGAGGACCGCTATGCATGAACACCACGGTTGGTGAGCGACAATGGGCCAAGCCAAACTGGGGGCTCCGAAACGGTTGAATTGGGCTACGGGTCGTATCGAGAGGATTTGGGAGGGTACCATTATGGGTAGATGCGTTGAAATATTGGTGCTCCAGGAGAGTGGCGCCGGCAAAAGCAAAAGTTGGGGTACTGTACTGAATCTCCATGCCCGCATATGGATCAATGATTCGACCATACTGGATCGAGGAGGCGTTCTGTGGTCGAGTGTGCGTGTCATGAGGGGACGTGGTGGGACATGCAACGCTCTGGGCAGGCGGCACGCTTCAGCACAAAAGCAAGCACGCCCGGCCAAACCTTGTTCTGATACTGGCGAAAGTGAAGGAAGATGTCGGCGATGAGCTCGAGGTAGGTGTCGCGGGTTACGTTCAGTGAAGGCACTGGTCCAGCGGCCTGATTGCTCGCCAACGCCTGTTCTAGCGTCTCGGCCAACGGAAATTCAGGAAAGATCTCCGGTGCAGCTGTGATCGGTGCCTGAGCCTTGACCGCAACCGCGGCCAACAGGACCACGGCCACCAAGACCCGACCCAACCGCCAGGGCGGTGGCGACGACGAAGCACGCGCCATCGCGAGGTCGCGCAGTGACAGACAGAGAGAGAGAAAGAGAGAGAGAGAGAGAAAAATTGTCGCACAACACAAAGAACAAAACAACAACAACAACAACAACAACAACAACAACAACAACAACAACAACAACAACAACAACAAACTGTGTTCAAAAGTTGGAAAATTTCTTTCATATACAAAATTATGTTACTGCTTATCGCCAACGGTCATACCACATGGAATACACCGGCTCTCGTCCGATCGCCGCAGTTAAGCCATGTTGGGCCATGCTAGTACTATCGTGGGTGACCAGATGGGAATACATGGTGCTGTTGGCCCTAGTTTTTTTTTTGAAAAGAAGAAGACGATGATTGTCAGATTTTTGGCCTTTTGTGGCTTGTTCTAATTATAGATGTGTTGACACGCACAACACTCTTTGTGTGTGTGTGTGTGTTATGGTTACGTGTGTCCATCATTAAGCCGACTCTCTCTCTCTCTCCTTTCATTGGGGTGGGCGTTTGTTCATTTTTCATTGTCACTTGGTTGCTGAAGTGTCTGTAAGCGTCTTCTTACTGTTGTTGTTGTTACTGTTGTAAAGGGGAGAAGGAGAAAGTGAGTGGCGCAGTGCAGTGGCGCTGCCCTATGACGGCGGCTGGTTGGGTCAGGGGGTGTTTTTGAGTTCAAGGAGAGGGCTGGAACCCGGATAGAGGTCATACATGGGCTGCGCTTATCTTGATGTTTGACATCGCATGCCGTTATATGGCTGGTTGAACTGTGTTTGCGGTGACGAGTGCGATCTCATCACCAGCTTGTGGCCTTTGTGTCGTCATTCCTGATCGGATGGCTTGCTGTGGCTTATTGCGTCGATAGACCGCTGTCGAGCTCTCCCTCTTGTGCAAAATGGCCTATCCTCCTCCCTCTGGCGGCCCATACGGCGCTGGCTCGGCCTCTTACGGCCAGGTGTGTATCCAAAAGCCCCACGATTCGCTACCCGCGCCTGGCACAGTGCTATTCTTGAAGGCCTTAAGACATTCATCTGATGGGAATGGCTTGCTTGATAGCCTGCTTATCCGCCTCAGCCTGGCCCATATCCTCCTTATGGTGCCGCCCCTCAAGCTCAAGTATGTCTGCCAACAGCTTGCCTTTCCTCCCACCTCCTGCTCGCAGGGGTGGCTAATCTCATCCGCCCGCGCTCGCTTTCCAGTACCCGCCTCAAGGCCAACAGTACCCGCCTCCGGGCCAGCAGTACCCGCCCCAGGGCCAACAGTACCCGCCTCCGGGCCAACAGTACCCGCCCCAGGGCCAGCAGTACCCGCCGCAGGGCCAACAGTACCCGCCTCCGGGCCAGCAGTACCCGCCTCAAGGCCAACAGTACCCGCCTCCGGGCCAGCAGTACCCGCCCCAGGGCCAACAGTACCCGCCTCCGGGCCAGCAGTACCCGCCCCAGGGCCAGCAGTACCCGCCCCAGGGCCACACGTCACCCCCAGTGCCTCAAGGCTACCCGGGTGCTCATCCTCCTCATCCGCAACACCCGCCCGCGGGCCAAGCGCCTCCGCCATCGTCTTACGGATCAGTGAGCTCGGTACGTTTTGCTTCAAACACCCCGCCTTGCCGAGGCCAAGGGCATGCGGATGGCTGCATACACCCTTCTTCGCGCCATCTCGCCACATATCCAAGCCCCTTCGAAGCGGACCCACAGCTTCTCACCTCGTCCGCCCATCCGTAGCCACCACCCCCGGCTGCATACGGCGCTGCCCCAGCCGCGTACGGCACTCCACAGGGTGGCCCACCTTCGGCCCATGGCGCAGTCCCAGTGCACCAGCAAATGGCTGGCCTCTCTCTCGAGGTCTGCAAGGCACCCCGTCGTCAACAACTAACACGCATGCTTCTTGCCCCCATCCCCCTATTTATTTATTTTTTTGCCCTCTCTCGAACCTTTTTTTCGAACCTGACTGTGCTGTCGCCCGCCCTTTTATAGCCGACCTACCATGCCACCGTGGTCCCTGCACACCCCTTTGATCCGGAAGCGGATGCCAAGGCACTGCGCGGCGCTATGAAGGGCTTTGGTACGGATGAAAAGACGCTGATTCGCGTGCTTGCCAACCGCACGGCCATGCAGCGCATGGATATTGCCCGCCATTTCAAGGTGGGTCCATCGCCATTCTCAATTCCTTAGCTTTACGCGTGAGTTTCCCTTTCTCTTTTCTGTGGTCGTCCTCACCCTCTTGGCATCAACATTTGCACAATCGCGCGTACCACAGACCATGTATGGCAAGGACCTGATCAAAGATCTCAAGAGCGAGACCGGTACACCTCGTTTGCGAAATCCTTTGTGCGCTGCTGACCCCACTTTGCAAAATGCAAAACTGACGTTTGCACTTCTATCTCTCAGGCGGTAACTTTGAGGACGTGTTGCTCGCCATGATGATGGAACCGGCCCAACAGGACGCACAAGTATTGCGTGAAGCCATGAAGGGTACGTCATCCCTTGGCCTCTCAGTCTTTCATTCAACTTCGTTGCAGCTTGGCACTCTAGCCCTTGTTCGTCACCTCACTTTTTTTCTTTTTTTTTTCTTTTTTCTTTTTTTTTCCTCCGACTTTCTTGGCGCGCCATCCACACCTCCGCCCCCTCGTGTGTCTGATCCCATTAGGCGTTGGCACTGATGAACAAGGTGCGCATCATGTCTGCTTGGTGGCAAGTCAATTAGCCCTGATTTCTTCCATCTTCTCATCCGACATTGATTCAAAAAACCGCCCTATGATCCACAGTGCTCATCGAGACCATCTGCACCAAGTCCAACGCCGAGATCCGCGCCATCAAGGAAGCTTATGCGACCTTATTCAAGCGCGATCTTGAAAAGGATGTCAAGAGCGAGACGGGTGGCCACTTCAAGCGCGCTCTCATCTCTGCCTTGCAGGGCAACCGTGAAGAAGGCAAGCCCGTTGACATGGCCAAGGCCCGCCAGGAGGCCGAGGAACTGCATAAGGCTGGCGAGAAGGTTTGTCGAGCCGTGGCCACTCAAGATTGCTTGCGCACTTATTCACAGAATTGTCGCTCACATCTGCACATAGAAATGGGGCACGGACGAGTCAAAGTTTCTGCAAGTCATTGGCCTGCGCTCCTTCCCCCAGCTGCGTGCTACGTTTGAAGAGTATCGCAAGGTACGCTCTCTTCGCAGCAGCTCTGGTTTCGAGGCTCAACTCGACGCCCCTCGCCATGCCTTACACCATCTTCGCCTGTACACGCTGTGCGCACTTGGACAGATCTCCAAGTATGACATTGTGCGCTCGATTGAGCGTGAGATGGGTGGCGATCTTAAAAACTCGATGAAGGTGCGTGATTCCATGCAGGCTAAGCATTCCCTTGCCTGTCCATGGCACCTCATTTGAGGCATCTTGCTGCTAGGCCATGGCCATGTGTGCCATCGATCGCCCGGGCTACTTTGCGGAGCGCATCTACAAAACCATGAAGGGTTAGTGCTCCTGGCGTGTCAACCAAGGTCCTGAGGATCCCCAGCTCCCACTCACTCGTTCTACTCAATGCTCCACCATGCACTAGGTGCCGGCACGGCCGATCGCGCTCTGATTCGCCTCATTGTGTCTCGCTCCGAGATTGACATGGTTGAAATCAAGGAGGTGCGATACTCCGACCCTCTCCCTCAACACACATACACACACATCCTGCTTCTTTCATCACGCGCTCGTGTGTCGACTCACACACCCGAATTCCATGGGCTCTACAGCGTTTCTTCAGCATGTACAACAAGTCTCTGGGTAGCATGATCCACGGTGATACGGGCGGCGACTACCGCCGTACACTACTCACGCTCGTCAAAGAGGAGGGCGGTCTGTAAAAAATAAACTCCGTCCGCCTGCGCCGGTGTTGGCTTTGTTGCTTGCTGTATTGCGCTCCCGTCCGGCTGCTTCCTTTGCCATTTGGTTTTTGTACCCCCTCCTCAAATGTGAAAAAAATACATACGTGTAAACCGCAGCTTCCCCTCTGTCCAAAATTGACATCAATTGTGCATGAAACACAGCCAACCAAGCCTCATTTTGTTCAATACGCCCAATACACCAAAATAGCCATCTGGCTTTGCAACGAGCGAGATGCAAATCCGAACAAGAGCGAAAGGATCCCGCTTCAGTCATTCTATACCCTAAAAGAGCACACGCGAACCATTCCACAAAGCATTGCACACGACTAGTAGCCAAAACTGGTTTTGTCGAGAGCTGCCACCAGTGTCTCAATCACCGGATGGACTGTTTGCCAGGCGGCAGTGAGCTGTTTGTTGCCGGTGGCTTGTGAAGAAGAAAGCTCTTCCAATGTGGTGCCGATCTTGGAGAAGAAGGCTTTGATCAGCTTAGCTTCACACCACACACAGTAAATGGAGAAGTTGTTCATTTGATGCAGCTCTTCCGTGGCCGAGGAAGCCTATCGCCCATCAAGACAGCGTGAGGGCACCTTGCCACAAAACGGCTCCGGGCGATGGATCAATAGTATGACGCTGAACTTACAAGCTGTGCTCGCGTTTCGGCCACAACCTTGTCCGATGTATCACTGCCCGAGCTTGTGGACAGCCGATTCGCCCTGCTGTGCTCCTTGGTCTAGCCGCGGGATCGTTGCCGCGCCATCCGGGTGACCAGGCGAGAGTGAAAATAAGCCATGGACAGATTTGGCCAACAAGATGGCGTACCTGCTTCTTTGAAGAAGAAGACAAATCCTTGACGATTCCCTTACTGCGACGATGCAGCGTCTCCTACAAGAAAGCACAGGCATTCAGGGCATAATATCGCAAAAAATGCTCAAAACAGATGAAAATAGGACAAGAACCAGAAACTGGCAGCTGCCTAAACTTTCTCGCCCTTCCATTAATGGTGTCAAGTTCTTGGCAGAGGAAAGAACAACTGGTTCAGAAATCAGCTTTGAACAAAAAAAAGTACCTTGAAGCCTGCCACCACTTCGTAAAAGGCGGTGAGGTTGTCGACAATGCCGTCCTCCTCCCGCAAGCGCTGCTCGTCGCCGCGATCGGCCACGCCGCCCACCAGAGCCGCGATGTCCCTGCACATGACCACGGCTCATCAGCACAGGACAAAGGAGTCGATGGACACTGCAGCAGTGAAGATTTGGTCGTTCTCGGAGAACAGAAAGCTACATTCTTGTCGAACCTCAAGTTGCGGTTGGCTTCCTGCCAGCGCGTTTCACCAGCCATATTTCCCGTGGGTGTTGCCCCAAAAGAACGCAGTTGCTCCGCAAAATCGCGCCACAACTGAGCCCGCGCTTGCGTATTGTCACTCACAGCCTGCGCCGTGTTCATCAGCTGACCAACACTATTCATGAAACATAAATCAAGCAAGGCGGCTCAGTGATACCAGAATCGCAGTGGGTACGTCCGAGATTGACTGCATGTATTCTTCTGCTCGACAAGCATACGAGCACATGGGGCGAGTCGTGCGATTTGACTGGAGTGCACTTGCACTGCCAGACGCTGATTCATGACGTACATATCCATGACTTCGGGAATCTCAGTTTGAAGCCCTGCGATGCGCTTGGCCATGTCGTCAGGCACCAGCTCGCTAGCCTCGGCCGCCAAAGCATGCGTGTAAAATTCTTCCCGCACATGCTTGGTGGCGTCTACTCGCGGATATGCCCGAGCAAACAAGCAAATTGCGTTGAGAAGTTTGCCTCAGTGGACCACCTCGCCAAGTACTGGTAGCAATGGGTCGATTGTTTGACCGACCTTTGACCTTGAGTTGAATGTCGCTGGACGAGTCTGTCAGGAAGGCAGTCAAGATCTCATCGTCTTGCAGCACGGGGTGGCGACCCACAAACATTAGATAGCGCTGGAGACCGCGGCGGCGATGCTCGATGAATTCGGGCTTCATATTGCCACCCCCAAATGTTTTGGGAGGAAGCTGGGGAATAATGCGATAGGGGTAGCGCTTGCGCAGATAGGCGTCCAAAGGCTCAAAGTCGGAGAAGCGCCGTGACACAGTTGTAGACTTGCGCTAGGGTGGATGGCGGTGGAGGTGGAAACAAATTCGCAGAGCCATGAAGAGATTGTCAACCAGACGCCCGCCTTCTAAACAACCATGCAAGGGCGACAGACCTTGGAAAAAACTTCGTAATTGGTATGTTTCTTCAGCATGCCTGTGGCATGGCCAAGCATGACTTGAACAAACTCAGACTCTTCAAACTCACGATACGTATAATCCGCCCTCTTGCCCGACTCAATGCCAGCCGCCCGCAAAGCCTCCATACGATCAAGCTTCAATGGTGGCAATTCAGGCAACGCCTCAACCGCTGCCACCGTAAATACCATACCCTAGCAAGCGCCATGTGTGAGCCCCCAGCGTATATGCGGGGGCGACCGTTCAATTCAAGTAGTGTCCAACCTGTTGGGCCAGTGCAAGCATAGCCAAAGCCTGAAAAAGGCCAGACTTGTCAATGCTACCCGTTCGGAAAGGGTCAGAGAGATGCCATGCCTGCCAGCAAACGAATGCAAAGAGGTTGGAGCGTTGAGCATGGGAACTTTGTCATTCGCGGGCTCGACGAATAACTGGACCCGCGTGGCGTGAAGACCCGTTTCAAGGAGCTTGATGCAGCAGCCACCAACCTGTTTGGCATCCCCAATGGGTATCGAGGCCTGGGAAGCAATCTGCACGCGGAGTCAGCGCAAGCACGGGCTGAAATGAATGCAGTCACACCAGACGAAAGGAGTGGCGGGAGAAGTTACAGGCTAATTTCTACCAGTGCCCAGCTTGGGAGCATCAGTCCAACCTTACCGCAAGGAAGGTGTTGGACGTGATTCGGCCCTCGTCGGCAGGACAAACAGCAGCGTACACGTCATGGTACACCTGCGGCACGGATCTGCCTACGAACGCACCGTGTGAGCCTGCAGGTGGCACACCGACAAACAAGCGATCATGGTTGATCAGCTACGAGCAAGGCCACCACAGACCAGAGGCCATGTCGTCTCCAGGCATCTTGGCCAAGTGTGTGTGTGTGTGTGTAACGTATCCACGTTCAAAAGCGATACGACCACCACCAATGCCTGCCTCCTGCTACGATCCGTGCGCTCTTGTTGATTGATCTGGAGCCTCCGATCAAATGTCGCGTCGTCGTTGTTGTCGTCGTTGTTGTTGTTGTTGTTGTTGTTGTTGTTGTTGTTGTTGTTGTTGTTGTTGTGTTGTTATCAAAAGGGTGGATCGCACACATGTCAAAAGTGATTGCTTTGTTGCTTTGTGTTCTTGTGGTTTGAGTTTATTCTTGTCTAACTTTTCTTTCACACTCTCACGCTCTCTCACGACTATCATTCTCAGCCTTCAAGACTCCCCCAACTGAACTCTGTCTAAACTCTCTTTCAAACTTCTTCTCTCCCAGCCACGCAAAACTGCCGTGATCGACGTCTCGACATCGCTTCGGCTTCAACTAGCAATCTGAAGAGGGCGCGAGCCAAGAGAAAAGGCGGGGGGTAGAGAGATCTCACTCTATATGCTCAGTCTCATGTTAAACATGAAGCAAAACTCGTCCTAAACCTCCCAACTACATTGGGCTTACGCCATCGAAGCGCGCCAAAGCATGCGGAGGAGGAGCGCAAATAGAATCAGCGCCACAGCAGCCACTACCCAGCTCCAGGAGCTTTGCGATGCCTTGGGGACCGTTGTAGTTGTCGCGGGCGCTGCCTCCTTGTCAGAAGTGGGGCTGGTGCTATCGCTTGCACCGGCCTTGCGGCGGCGCACACGCGCTCGGGTCTCGGCCTCGGTTGCCTTGTTACCCTTGCGGCTCATGAGATCTTCGAGATCCCCCACGGCTGGGGCAGCTGCGGCGTTGGCTTCCTTGGCGCGCTGAGAGCGGACCACGAGTTGTCCACAAGCAGCGTTCACATCCTGGCCCAGCTCTTGACGAATGATGGTGCGAAGCCCGTAGCTACGCACAATCTCGTTGAAACGATCTGTTGTGGCTCGGGATGGTGGCTTGTAATCATGTGGCACATCGGTGGGGTTGTAGGGAATGACGTTGACCAAGACATCGCGGTCCTTGAGCAGATGGCCCAGCTGATGAGCCACCTCCTCAGTCGAGTTGACCTCGTCAATGAGGACATATTCAATGAGAATGTGTGTGCGTCGACGCCGACTTGTCTCCTGACGCGTTTCCTGAAAATGGTCAATGGCCTCCATAATGCGATCCAAGTGCCAAGAGCGACCTGACGGGACAATCTCTTCGCGGAGCTCTTGATTCGGTGCGTGTAGACTCAAGGCGAGTCCCACATCAGGCATATCTTCCACCATTTGATGTATCCGTGGGACAACGCCCACTGTTGACACGCTGATCTTTGAAGCCCCGAGACTAAAGCGGCGGACATCGGTCATGGCCGAGACGGCAAAGCGTACAGCATCGTAATTGTCCAGGGGCTCGCCCATGCCCATAAACACGACTAAGGATCCAGAATCGCCGTCACAACCACCACACGACAGCGACAAGTCACCACACAGGACCCAATGCATAAAGTGACATCATGCAAGATCAGACAGACGAAAAGATCAAAGGGCATAGCACACGCACGATGGTAAAAGGAACGGTGTCATGAAGACTCACCGTTGCGAATCTTCTCCACTTGATTGGCATGATACAGCTGCTCCAAGATTTCGCCCGCCGCGAGGTTGGACATGAGCCCCATGGTACCTGCCAACACAGTGGCCAAGGTGATTATTTGGCACTTTTGTCATGTCTGCCTCTTTGTCTTTTCGTCTTCTGCTGCGACTGAGCCCCAAGAATGCAGTGCATACCGGTAGCACAAAACGTGCAGCCCATTTGGCAGCCAACTTGCGAGGACACACACACGGTGGCACGCTCCTTGCTGACAAAAGAAACTTCTCCATCCGACGATTTTTTCTGTGCGTCCTCGGGAAAGTTGCGCAGCTCAAAGCGGCCTGCCAGATTCATTCCCGATATTCAAGCGTCAGAATGGCTGATGCCAACGCCAAAAACACCCAGGGCGACCTGAATGAACCAAACTGAGGCTGTACCGCTTTGTACGCACCATAACGCATGATGACCGTTTCAATCTGAGCACCGTCCTGCAGCTCGATGAGCAGCTTGGTTGTGGTGTTGTCTGCAGAGGTCTCTTCCTTCACCAGGCGTGAGGTGGTGAGCGCAAATTTCTCCTCGATTACTTGATACAGCTTCTTGGGCAGCTCTGGAATATCGCGCACGTTGGTGACGCCGTTGTGAAGGATGGCCCGCCACATGCGCCACACATGGTCGTCTGCAATGCCCAGCTGCCGTGTCTCGTATAAAACCATCTCCTCATCCTGTTTGACAAACAGGCAAAGATCATGAGCGGCATGCGTGATGAAAGTTCACAAGACCGTACGTCTGTAAAGAGGTCGTCCCCTAGAGATCAAGAGGAGATCATGCCCGCCCTTGCAAGCGCACCAGGAGAGGCATGGGGTTGAGCTGCCGCTTGCGAGGAGCCATCTTGCTGCGTGCACGAGGTCGTGCCAGATCAAAAGCGGAGTTCGTCTCGCCACAAAAGGAGTACAAAGGCGTAGCCAAACGACACCCGCTGTTATCGATGCGCGCGCCTGATCTGGCCCCAGCTGCGCTCCTCTTCCTTTCCACAAGCCACCAGCTGCCGCACGCCAAGCTCGTCCCTGTGCCAAGAAGCTGAAAAACACGCACCAGCACATGAACCAAAGCTGATGTGAACGCGTGGTCGGTTTTGGCTGACAATTCCGTTATGTTATTTGTCAGACAATTTAAGAGGTGGAATGGAGCGCAAAAAAAGGGAAGCGGTCAAAAGCAAGAGGGGGGGTTCTTCGATTATCAGAGGGGGGACTGCAAGTCACGAGACGGAGGCGCAACGGTAGGCAGATACAAGAAGAATGCAGCAAGAAAAAGAGGAAGGAAAAAAACAGCATAAGATCGGGGCTCAAGTTCTATAGAAGGTAACGCATTCAATGAAAAAGAAAAAAAAACTAAAGGCAATTACATGTATCATGTGGAAGCTCGATCGAGAGAAGGTATGGGAATGGACGCGAGTCACTCGCAGTCTTGCAAAGACCAAAGGGCAATAAAAACAAAAAGCAAAAGCAAAAACGATCTACCCAAGTCGACGAGAAGCTTAGTGATATGGTATCTAGCGGGGAGTCGCTGAGGGAGTTCGGGTGGCCGTTTCAGATGGCAAGAGGCTGCCAGCCTCCGAGGGTCGGGCTGTCGTGCCCATATCAAGTTCCAAAAAGATGTTTTCATGCTTCAAGTGGCGAGCCAACGAGCGAGGCGTGTTCCCAAGATCATCACGGATGTCTGGGTCGGCGCCATTGTCTAACAACAGCTGGGCTGCTGCCAGAGCATCTGCACAACCAGAGCAGAGCAGGCCATATAAGAAGCTGCTGCGGGGGATGCGCAGCCAGCTGACATGCTCCACGCCAAATGAGACAAATTACACCGCATCAAAGCAAAAACACGAACCGCTGGCAATGGCACGGTGCAGTGGCGTCTGGCCCTGGGGATCACGGACGTCAATGTCCGTCACGAGCTCATCCTCCAGCAAGCGCGAAATCTGATCGCACGCGTTGGCCTCTATATGTGACCCGAGCATGCAGGCACGAGGGGCAAGAAATGGGCAGGCACGTAAGAGGCTGGTGGGGCAGGCGAGTCCACGGAGAGAAAGAAACGTGGACTGGCTGCCTGAGTGCTGGAACAACAAGAAGTGAGCGGTGATGGGCATACCTGCAGCAGCCAGGAGCACAAAGTTGGGGTTTTCTGACATGTTGACCTTGTTGCGAGTCATGCTCACCGCCGCACGCTGCACGGCATGCATGTAGTGGAGCTCGCGCACGGCCTCGCTCAGGGTTTGCCCGACACGCATGCCCCGGATGCTGTTGCCGCGGCCGTCATTGAGCGGGGAAATCACGGCAAAGCCACCATAACCCGGTGCCGCCATCATAAAGGCACCTGAGACGCCACTCTTGGCCGGGATACCCACGCGATAAGCAAAGTTGCCCGAGGCATGGTACAAGCCCGATGCCAACATGTGTTGGAGCGTAAGCTTGGCCGCCCACGAAGGCATCACCCAGCGGTGCGTCAAGGGGTTCCAACCAAAGTTGGCCAGCGTCGCGGCCATGGTGGCCAAGCCCGCGGCTGTTGTGGCCAGGCTACAGCACTGCAGATAGAGCTCGAGCGTAGATTTGCTATCGACCACTTCGAACAATGTTTGCATCTTGGGCGATTCCTACCTCCGATTGCAAACATAACGTGGCATGCGATGAGTGTCGAGCATTCACACTTGTTCAAGAACAAGGATCAGGACAAGGACCAGGACAAGGACCAGGACAAGGACCGGGGCAAGGACAGGGACAAGCAATAAACGAAGAGGGTCAAGGGCTCTGCTTGGCACATACGCGAAGATGATGAAGCAGACCACGATTACGGTCCGAATGCTCCAGCTCCTCGAGGTAGACGGCGTTATCGAAGAAAACGCGCCCGGAAGAGCCCACGGCACACTTGGCCAGATCTTGAATCAGCTTGAATGCTTGGGGCACTGTTTGAGCCTCACGTAGGATGAGAGCGCAAAGGACAAGACCTCCAAGGTTGTTCAGTGGGTTATGCGGAAGACCATCCTCGCTCATGGAGAAGCTGTCAAAATTAGCCCCGGACGGCTCAACGCCAGTGTACTCCTCAACGCCAGCTTGGCCAATCAGGCGATAGGCCGAACAGAGGACAATGGGCAACACAGCTGCCTGCAGGGTAAAGTCTTCCTGGTAGCCGTATTGATAGGTTGCGCCATCAATCAGGGTGGCCGCCACGCCATACTCGATGGTAGGATCGACATCAAAATAGCCTGGCGCCACTCCCTCGAGATTGTCACGATTCTCCTCAAAGGCTTGCTCCAAAAGCTTGGGCACACGCTTAAGAAAAGAGGCCGTTCCGGCAACGCTGGGTTTGCGACGACGCGTGTTGTTTTTGCCTTGGTTGAAGAAGACTGACTCGTTGCTCGTGCTGACGGCACCAGGACTCGCTGCTGCAACGTTCTCCGCAGCGCCTGGAGTGCGAAAGGATGAGTTGGGGCTGCTGTGGGAAGTTGGCGGTGCCGGGCTTAAATGGGGGTCCTGTGCCACAGGGTTGCTTTTGCGGAGCGCAGGAAGGTCTGTTACCGAGGAGCGCTCGCGTTGGACCTTGCGATTTGGCAGCTCAAGGGAGCCCTGTCGATGAATGGAGGGCAGACTGACGGAGGGTCGCGGTCGGCCGCCAGAGGGTAAATCAGGGAAAGCCGGGGGCGTGCTTGGTGATGCTTTGCCCAAGCTGTGAGAAGAGGTGCCCGTGAGTGGGGCCGAGGCTCGGCGCTGCTCTTGTGAGGTACGTCGCCAGTCCTCGGCGCGTTCATTATAGGTGGCAAGCGTCTCGTTGAGCAGACCCAGGCTTGAGGACCGCTGCAACGAAGAAAAGATGGCGCGAGCAAAGAGCAAGAGAGAGGCGCAATAAGCAAGCAAGGAAGTGCGAGGAGACGGGACAATGCCTCGGTCTGTAGACGACAAGGTGCAGTGAGGCAGCATATGGGGTACCTGGTCGGCGGAGAGCGCGGGTCCCTTTTGGGCGCGGGCCACGGAGCTACTGGATCCCATGGCTAGCCGCAAACGCAAGTCGAAAGCGCACCAAAAATGGCCGCCAGTCCACGAGCCGCAAGAAAGGGTCGAGCGCGATGTGTATCTGTTACAATGTTCGTGATCACTTGACAAAGGCCAAACTCTGGGGATTGGCGAACACAGACGGCGCCCTCGTGTTTGACCCCGTCGTGCTTGAGGCGAGGAGAGAGGAGGCACGCAACCGCCACGAACGGCGAAGCAAAGGCGCTTGTGCTGTCCTTTTTGTTTGTGTTTTACTATGGTGGTGATGGTCTGTCCCACCACGACGCGGCGTATACGCACGGGGTGGGTGGGTACGTGTATGCGTGTGCGTGTGCACGTATGTGGCCCAGTCTCAGCCACCCGACGTCGTCGTCGCGTCGTCTTCAAACAGCCTAGCAAAGCGTTGGGCCGAATGCACTCGCTCGTGGCTCGCCACCCCACACCAGCAACACAAGCCCAGCCGAAGGATCAACCCCGACACCAAGTCGGCAGAGCAAACAGCTAAGGAAGGATAGAACGAGTAGAGAGAGAGAGAGACAGAGAGAGTGTGTGGGGAGGAGGCGCGACCAAGGTGGGAAAAGTGTGTTGTAAGTGTGTTTGCGAACAACTCAACAATGAACTTTTCGGTGTGTTTTCTTGAAAAGGAAGGAGGTTGGTGTAGTCATGGGGGGGTTTGATGAGCATGATTCGGTACATGCTACATGCTGGTGGTGATGGCAGGGCGATGATGATGATGTTTACAGCGCTGCTGGCGCTCCACCCACTGGAGGATTTCTCGGTCCGCCGAGCAACCGGCTGCCGAATGGTCCCTGCTCCCATTTGTTTGTGTTTTCCTTTTTCCTTTTTCATCTTTTTTTTTTTTTCTGAGATTTCAACATCTCGTTGGCTCGTGGTTGTCTGGTGAAGCAACACTTTCGACATGTGCACCGTGGAACAGTTACACTTTGACTCCCCTAAAGTGTGACGTTGAACACATGTGGCTGTCTGCACATGGAGCACACCGTTGAGGGTGGGGGTGGAGAGTGGCACTTTGGATGTCAGAAGAAGTAAGAGAATCAACGCGTCTGACTGTTTTCTTTGTGTGTGTGTGTGTGTGTGTGTGTGTGTGTGTGTGGTGCACACGTGAGGAGGCGACGTCGACGAGTCAACTCACAACTCACATGTGGAGGTGGGCGACAGAGACAAAATGGACGAGTGAGGCTCGGAAATCAATTCGGAATGGCGGAGAAGAAACGCCGTGCCACAAGGGCAAAATGTCGAGAGCTCGCAGTCGAGCGAGTTTGGGGATCAGTAGGTGCTGGGATCGTTCAAGGAAATCATGACAGCGAACGCACACGCGCTCTAAACGCATGTACACCATGCGGGAGAGACCACTTCCAGTGCGCAGGCAAACTAGAGGGTGGCAAGGTTGAAGGCCGCCTTGACCTTGGTCCAGAGCGAGTCGGCATAAAAGAGGTTGACCAGAGACTCGCAAAAGGCAAACCCAGCTGCCTTGACCGGATACTGCAGCGGCGGCGGGATGTTGGTGCGAACGCCGGGGAAGCGGTCCGAGGTGATGGAGCGCATCAGGCAGCAACCGCGCAGACCCTCCACGCCCGCAAAGCGGTCAAAGCCGGAGATCTGTGACATGACGCCCATCAAACCATCCGACGCCGGCACAAATCGGTGTGTGTTTGGGGAGGGACATCAGTGGTCAGTCGACAACCAATCAAAAGGACTGGGGGATGCGATAAGGGGTGCAAGGTAGTGCACCACATACGTTGACGCCGCCAAAGGGCAGTGCTTGGCACAGGTAGTTGACGCCAAAGTCATTGATGTTGCACATGCCAGTCGTCTGAAGCAAACAGGGAGGAAGAAGGTAGCCAGGGGCGTGAGTCTAACGTTTGCGACCGTAGCACTGAACGGCTCACAACGTGTACGGCCGCTCTCACCAGCTGATTAGCAATGCGCTCTGCACGTGCATAGTTGCGGGAGAAAACAGACGAGCCAAGACCATACTCGACCGAGTTGGCCTGTGCAACGCGCATAAGAAGACGGAATATTTGGAGCACAGAGGAGAGCAAACAGATCAAAATGAGATGCTGAGCCCAAGTTGGCGAATCGAGAAAGGTGGGAGCCGAGACACGGCGGGTGACGTACAATGCGAACAGCATCGGCATCGTCGCGCGCCTTCATGACGGTCATGACGGGGCCGAAGACCTCGTGCTGAGCGATGTCCATGTCCGGGGTCACGTCCACCAAGAGGGTTGGGGTCATGTAACCCGCCACACCTTGTTGTCCTTGGTGCATCATACCTCCCGCCAAACAGCTAGCAAGAATTCATGAAGCATGGTCGGCCAGGCACATGTCAGTCCCTCATGCCTGCCCCGTGTGCCATCGGCAGCGGGGTTTGCAATGTGTTTGGGGGTACAACCAAGACGGTGACGCACCGAGCACCCTGAGCAACAGCACGCTGCACCAGCTCCTCAATCTTCTGGGCCGAGGCGACACCCATGGTCATGGCACCGCAATCAACGTCGCCGTCGGCTGGGCAGCCCTGCACCAACGCTTGAACCTTGGGTGCCAATGTCGCCACCATCTTGTCATACACGCCCTCGTGGACGATGAGTCGCTCCAGACCAATGCAGTTCTGGCCACAGTTTTGAAAGGTACCACGCAGAGCCAAGTTGACGGCTTGATCAAAGTCGCAGTCCTCGCAGATGATGGCGGCATCTTTGCCACCGAGCTCCAGCACCACGGGTGTCAAGTTGTTGGAAGCGGCCTAACATGTCCGTCCCCGAAGGAGCACCAGAAGCCATGAAGGGCCACACGGAGCCAAGGACGGTGCAGGCATGTCCCTTCGATTTGCAAACTGGTAGTTTGCAAACTCACCTTCATGACCAGCTTGCCCACGCCGGGCGATCCAATGAAAACAAGCTTGTCCACGCCCGATTCCACCAGGGCGGCACCCGTGGGCCCAAAACCTACAAGCACCAAAGATCAACGTCAGCCATTCTAGTCCAGCCGGTGGGCACCGAGAGGCACGCCAGCACGTGTGCTCGCAAAATTCAGGCGAACAAGACCACGGAGTGTTTGGTTGACATAAGATGGCTAACCAGTGACGATTTGGACCAGGTTGCGATCGATGCCAAAGTGGTCCAGGATGGTGTGAACGATGCGAAGGTAGGCCAGCGAAGACCAGGTGGCATACTCGGACGCCTTGACCACGATGGCATTGCCCGCAAAGATGGCGGAGATGATCTGGCCAAACAGATTGTGAAAGGGGTAGTTCCAGGGGATGATGGCACCCATCACACCTGACCGCAGTGACATGGGGGAACGAGAGCAAATGGAGCCAACCCAACCAGATCGTATGAGTCATGGCCGACTGGCCTCGTGCCTGAACCATAAAAACGGGCAAAGCTGATGCGACCTGCTGCCTGCCGCGACCACGGCGACCACTTGGGATGGCAAGCTTACCCAGGGGGATGTACTCGACGCGAGCCGTCTTGTGTGACATGATCATGCCTGAGAGGATGGTTGCACATTCAAGAATCGGAGTCAGGTGGGCATGGTGGAATCAAATGGTGCTTTTCAGTACAGTCAAATCATACCGGTTTTACGATACTCGGTACGCAGAGCCTGCTCGCCGTGCTGAAGTGTCCAGCTGATCTTCTCGCAAGTCACCAAGACCTCACCAAAGGCGCCATCGACGACTGCGTTTGAACCCCCCCAAGCATGTGAGATGCCCTTGAGCCAGTGTGTCAATTCAGCGAAAGCCAGCATTGAGCACGGGTGTGTGACATACGAGTTTTGCCTGTGTCACGGGAGGCAATGACGCAAATCTCGCGCTGGTGGGCAGTGATGTAATCTTGCATGTAGCGCAGCACCTCGCGGCGCTCCTCGAAGTTTGTCTGGGCCCATTGGCGCTGGGAAAGAAAGGCGATTGTCAAGACATGCGTCGAAAGGGCAGGCCCCGTCCGAAATGCCTCAGACCTCAGCAAGATACAAACCTGAGCAACACGCGCCTTGGCAACGGCCTCGCGAACATCAGCGGGGCTGCATACAGGGACGGCACCTGCGCGCGCTCGTTGAAAGCCGAGCAAACGTGCGAGTGAGTGCCGTAACGTGCGTAAGGTGCGGACAGAGTGCGTATCAATCCAACACGGCTGCACACACCAGAACCGAGGACGGCGTGAGTGAACTTGTCGTAAGTACGAATGACATTGGCGTTGAGGGGATCCTGAGGAGCCGCATCCTTGAGGAACTGAGTGGGTTTCCAGTCCTCGCTGGCCTCCACGGGCAGCGGGATCAGCAGCTCGTCACGGCCTGAAAAGAGGGCATTTCTGCACCAGGCGAATGTGATCCAGACAAATTGAGCGATTGCAGGACGTAGAGGGATCAGCTTGCAGACGACGGGTTGATGAGAATGTGCGAGGGACCTTCCCCCCCTCTCTCCTCAATATGCAAGATCTGCCTTACCCAGCGCGGTATAGGCCGTAGCCGGCCACAACAGCCCCGGCGTAGAGGCCAAATTGCTCGGGTGGCGCTGGGATACTGGCATCCACCCCAGCGGCGGCGAGCCAGCTATTGGCCTGTGCGACCGCACTTTCCGCCTGAGCTTGCACAAACGCAGCCATCTCGCTCAAGAACAGGTCAAATTGACACAAAAAAGAGCCTCAGCAGCAAGAATCCTGCCCCGCGCAGCGTTGAGAAAAAGAGAGAGACGGGCACATGGTGTCTGTGTGGGTCGCTCTCTCTCTCTCTCTCGCACACACACACACACTCTCTCTCTCTAGAACACACACTTCTCTCTCGTTTTGTGTGCGCGAAAGAGGTTATGTGTGTGTGTGTGTGTGTGTGTGTGTGTGTGTGGGCTTGTCACCTGATTTTTCCAACAGCACAGACACAACACATCGCGGTGCTGCTTGGGAAGGGCTTGGCGGCTGCTTGGGATTACCTGAATGTCAGATGATTTTTTGACGCCGTTACAGCCATCATTTCGTGCTTTTTGCTTGAACCGGCGACATGACAGTCGAAGCAGCGGATCGCGAGGCTGCGGCCTTCTCCGCCTTTGAAATGGTGCGCTGGACCGCTGGACCGATGGGCGGATTGAATGATTTGGTGTCAGATCTGCGTTTGTGCCTTTCCGACCATGCATACGCTCATGCTTTCTTGATATGCTGGCCCGTTTGGGCGGGGCGTGGTCGTGGCGAATAGATATCGAGCAAGGAGGCCTCCGTGCGCAAAGTTGTAGGCGGCGTGCTTGGCGGCGTGGCGCTGCTGTGCCTCCTCTTGGACCTGGCAGGTCCTGGTTTGCTGTACTCGCTGGCCAGTGCTGGCATCATGCTCTACCGGATGGGCGTGGAGAGTCAGTGAGGGTGTATTACCACGGGCAAATGGAATCCGGATGGCCGAGGGCGACGCCCCGTGCCCGCCGCCTACCGCGCCTTGGTGGACCGCAAGCGACGCCAGTTTTATGCAAACTTTGGCCGCTCGTCCGCACTGGGCTGGGTTGTAACGCTGGCCGCGCTCTGGTTTGTTCGCGGCATTGACGACTGGTGGGCCGTCAACTCGGCCATGTTCATGGCTGCCCTTGTGGTCATGACACTCGGCCTGGCGGTCAGCTTTCGCGCCTAAGGTCGACCCGCTGCGCCTCCTTGCGCATTCGGCGACGACGCGCGTACGTACGCGCTGTGGCTCAGTTGGGCCTGTCAAAGTGCCCAGCAAGGATGGCTGGCGGCAGAGCATAATCCATTCCTTATGCTCATGGGGTGGTCGTCCGTGGGAGAAACCAGAGATGGCCGTCTCTTTCGGAAGGAAGCTGCCTGCTTGCAACGTGACCAGTGATGTCTGAGCCTCAAAGCCTTGATTGGGCCAGGCTCAGATTGATGAAAAGCTGGTGGTGTGGTGGCACGGCGCGATGCGCTGGGCGGGTACCTATGACCGATCCTCTTTGCCCGTGATCGAGCCATGGCTCTTAACCCGCACGCCACATGGTGAGGCTTGACCTCACCACACCCGCCATCCTCACGTTTGCACGGGTGCTTGACGCCGTTCTACGAGAAGCTTTCTGCTCTCCCTCTGCTTCTGTCTCTCTGCCTCTCTGTCTCTCTGTCTCTGTCTTTTTCTCTCTGTCTCCGTGTGAGCACATCAGAGAAACACCAGGGCTGAGAGCAGAGGACCAAGTGTGATGTGTAAAAGTCAACGTAGCATGTGTCATGCAATTGATGAGCTTGCCAACTGACATACCCATCACCTTGAAGGCCTGCACACCACCAGTATACCAACATATCAAGGCAATCGTTGAAACACAGCACCCCCATCCTCGCTGTCACGCCCTTGCGCTACACCATGACTCATCCCAAGTACTGTTCTGACGAGCTTGCCATTGAAATCGCCACCCACCTTGAAGACTTGCGCCAGTTCCACTGACCCCCGACCCACACAAACCGATCACGCTGCGACCGACCAACCGTCCGACCGTCCGACCGACTTTCAACCCTCGAAACGAGTGACCATACCCTATCCTCGTGACATTGTGTCATGTGTTGGTTTTCTGACATGTTTGTGCCGCTCGAGGACTGTTTGTCCGCTTCTCAACCCACCCGAGTCGATGTGGGTCTCGCAACTCTCTCTCTCAAACCCTCTCAAACTCTCAAACTCTCTCAAACTCTCTCAAACTCTCTCAAACTCTCTCAAACTCTCTCAAACTCTCTCAAACTCTCTCAAACTCTCTCTCAAACCCTCTCAAACCCTCTCAAACTCTCTCAAACTCTCTCAAACTCTCTCCCCTCCCTCTGTTCCTCTTCCCTTCTTGAGCAGCGTCAGCGCGGGTGAGAGAACGTGGGGGCAGTGCAGGCGTCAAGGACACTTGCTTGGCTGGGACTGGTTCAGAGCGGAGATCACTTTTACATGGCGTAGCAGAGCAGGCACCAAGTGATTGATTGCGGTCCATTGATCGATCCCCCAAAGGGCATCGGCAGCTCAACCGCCCCCTTTTCTGGCTCAAAAGGTCTTTTCTGTTGAACCCGGACCGCACACCATGCTGCGGCGGCGACGGACCACGCAGTCTCGCTCCGCATCGCTCGAGGTATGTGCTTTTCTGCCTGGTTGGGGTGCGTGCCCTTGCCGTGGGAGCTCTTGATGCATCTCCCGCTCCGCCTCACTCGGATGCGCGTTTTGTCACCGGTCCCATGCCATGTCCTCCCCCAAAGGTGCAAGGCCACATCCTCGTCCGAAAGCAACACAAGAAACCCCTCACATGCAACCTCTGCGGCGACACCATCTGGGGCTTTGGATCAATGGCCATGCAGTGCAAATGTTTGTTCTGCCCCTCGCATTGGATCAACGTTTTCCCCCGGGCTCCTTGCCATTTCCGCACCCGCCGCATTGATTCGATGCCTACATTACGACTGCTGACCTTTGGACCATCAATTCCGGATTGTACCTCGGTGGTGATCTCGATGCAACCACTGTCCCCACAGACTGTCGCTACCTGTGTCACGAGAAATGCAGTCACAAGATCGCCGCCCCGCGCTGCCCCATCCAGCAACTTGATACCCTGATTGTATGCCATCTGCTCCTTGAACGTTTTTCGCACACCTGAACATGGCAACATCAATCCAGTGCCCCCACCACAACTGCTGACACGCACCGTGACGTTACCAACTTCCTTGTAGGCGCCCAGCAAACACCACTGGGTCGTGCAAAAACCTCGCAAGCGTTGTTATTGTACCACCTGCCGTCGTCTCCTGGATGGCCCTGCTCTCGTTTGCGGCTGTCCGTATCCCACGCACCGCTGCTAAACGTTCTACCACCACCAGCTCACCACTGCTCTCCTCCAGCTCATGGCTCTTCTTGTTCATCACCCGCACTTCATTGCCTTAGCCTGTGGTGTCTGGTCGCATCTGTTTTGCCGCGCTACCACGGTGGACAATTGCCTCCCCTCAAACAATGCCAGCTGGCGGACCCACAAAGGGCAGCACGTGTATGTTCAGGTGTCCGGCCCCTCCCTGCCTCCAGCACACACACACACACACACACACACACACACACACACACACACACACACACACACACACACACACACACACGCACTCACACACCTCTGGCCCAATGTCTGGGAAAAGAGTATGCTTGCCGTAGAGTCAACCTCACCGTGCTTCCTCCGACCCTGGCTTGGTTTGTATAGCTGGATCGAAGGCAATCTTCCCTCAAAGCAAAATTGTAGCGAGTGCTCCAAGGCCATCCCCGCTGCATCGGCTCTCATCCACTTCCGTTGCGGATTCTGCCTCAAACCTGTTCGTGCCTTGCCATACTCATGTCAAACATTATCTTGGACAATTGCGAATGTCTTGCCCGTTCACGACCGTCTCTTGGTCGCACCACCAAACAGGTTCATGCTGGCTGTCTTCAACAATGCTTGGCTCACCCTTGTGCCGGTGGCCCTCTCCGCCGCATGCGTCTACCTTCCGCGGCCATTTCGTACAACGTGAGCCCACCCATCCCAACCTTGACCGAACCATCGCCCGGGATGGACAGATTTTAATCATTCCCACGGCTTGACTCCCATTTTGGTGCCACAGGGTCCTCATGGCGCCATTATGAACATGGAGTTGCTGGATGAGCTCAGCGACGAGGACGAGCCCGATCGTTTCACATGGCACAACACATCGTATGTAGATTCAAACACGCCTCACTCACCTCGACGTCAAGTGCTCGGTTTCACAATTGCCGCCTGCAGGACGGGAGTCCGCACACTCGCGCCCCGCGGATCAGTGCGGATCACGAGCCGCACGCCATCGATCCAGCAAAGCAGCTCCGTGCACCTGACCAAGGTGACTGAGGATAACGAAGACGAATCGCAGGCAGCAGCCACGGCCCACGGGCAGGACTCGCCCCTTAGCGCTGCCTTAGCTCCGCCTGCGCATGTCATGGCAGCCTTGCATGGCAAGGAAGATGACACCGACGACGTGCTTGCAGAGGGTGATTTCTCAGTCGAGTTGATTGTTTTTGAGGGTGATCGAGCCTGTCATCAATTTGCCAACCACGCAAGCTTTCCCATTCTTCTGCAGTCCACTGACTCGGTCAGCGCGCTCATGGACTTGGTGCGTGCTTGTGCTACCAACTACCCCGCTCCGGCCAAACCTTTGCTGTAGCCACCTACTTTTTCCAATACCTGGAGCCCCTTTCTTCACGCATACTGCTTTGTGTTGCACGATATGCATCGCGTCTCATCACTTGGCTGGAATGCCGTCCCATCTTGCCCAGGCCGTTAAAGAGATGCGGTTGCCAGATGCGCCGTCCGAATACTATTTCGAGGTTGTCACCTTGCAGATTAATCAAGGACGCCGTGACAGCTTGCGCGCCTCCCTCAACAGTCTGCAAGCCAAGGTCTCCACGACCGAGCGCATTCCACCCAATTTGCTCATCGTCGACCTAGCCAAGAAGCTTGAAGGCAATCGCAAAGGTACGAGTAACGACAGCCAGGCAGATTGTATCGCAACCTCTGAGCCGTCGTCGTGATGCAACTCATCTCCACGGACCTTGACATGCGTGGGGTCACAGACTATGCCCGACTCTACTGTCGCTCGCGCCAAGTTGACCAGGATCGCCAGCACGGCCAAACCATCATCAACCTGATGAATCGCACAGCCGGTAAGTGGACCAGGTTGTTCCTCTGCGACCTGAACTCTGCAGCCTGCGGAACACAAACTCACCCTTTGACTCTTTTGCCACTGCCGTGCGAATTGAAGATATTCACGGTGGGACCAAGGCCATCAGTATCAGCAAGGGCTGCACCGTTGCCGAGGTGCTCAAACGTGCCCTCAACAAGTTTCGCATTCAGGAGAGCTTGAACGATCTCGTACTTCAGCGAGTACGTAGCCCACAGAGCTGTGTCAAGCAGACTCTCTTTTTCAAACTGGGGGCACCTTGAGTGTTGATCGAAGAAGCTGAATAGTGATTTCTTTTTTTTTTTCACCATACATCACTCTGCAGGTGTCCATTCGCGAGCACGTGCTCAATGAAGCGTTAGAGCCGGACCAGGATGTGTTTGAGCTAGCCTTGTTGGCATATGAAGGGCATTTAAACCGATCCTTTGTGCGATTTGACGTCTGCCGACGCAGTGATGTGGCTGGTCATCCTCAAAAGCTCTTTCTCTCTGGCCTTAATGCCTACGCTACGACCGAGGAGCTGACAACTCTCCTAAACAAGACCATGACTGCGGTGTTGGTATGTGGGCCTCGCACGGAAACAAACCTGTATGGAGATCGCGAGCTCGTGCACACGCCCCCTTGACGCCTGGACCGCTGACCATGATGCGCCAATCGTGATTGGATGTCTGTGATAGCCCAACGGTGCGCGAGGCTGTAGTGTTGATCTGGCCATAGCGACGGCAGGTGCGGTCTTGGAATATCCTCGTCTTTGCATAAACGTTCTTAGAGTTCCTGCGCCACATAAACTGATCCGCGCTTGTTTGAAAATCGGATAGGCATGGCTGTCATCACTTTTGAGTCACATCTCGACGCGCTCAAAGTTGAAGAGCCTTTGCTTGATGCGCTCCAGCGCGTCAACATTTGTGACCCAAAGGTAGGCGCTGAAACCGAAAGCAAAACTGCCCTTCTTGGTTTTGTGTGTTTATAGTTTGCTGCACTGTCTTTGTCGCTCTCTTTTTCTTGTTTATCATATCATTTCGCCCCGAAGCCGGGACGCAAGGTGCTCAATCCACCACTGGTGTACCCGTTGTCGGCGGTGAAAAATTGCTTTCCATTCTCATTGCATGTCTAGTTGGTATGGCTCCCAACGATTGATGCCGCAGCAATTCCAGAAGATGCTGAGCCTTTGCTTGTATTTATCAACCCTAAGTCGGGGGGTGGCCAGGGCCTCGACTTGTACACTCGCATCGGACGCTACGTCAACCCGCATCAACTCTTTGATCTAAGTGTGGCGGGTCCGGAGCCCGGGTAAGTGACGATCCAGGCAGCCGTCGGGCCAGTTGTCTCGTGTCGTCCAACGATGCTCACAAGCTTTTTCGTCGTGTTGTGCTGAATCCTGAAGACTGCTGGCCATGCGCACTGTGAGCAAGTTTCGCATCTTGGCATGCGGTGGTGATGGCACGGTGGGCTGGATCCTCTCAGCGCTGGACACGCTGCAATCGTTCCTGCGCTGCCCAGTTCCTGCCGTGGCCATCCTGCCCATCGGCACGGGTGAGTTTGAGAGGCCTCTGCCTGAATCCATGTTTGTGCCCGTGTTCGTGTTCGTGACTATTTCTTGTCCTGCGCCCATATCTATTTGTGGTCGCTGGCTGCGGTGGTCGCGTCATGCAAGCGTGAGAAGCTGATAGAGGCTCCGGCCCTGTACCTAACGGGAGCGCTCGGTGCTTTGCTTGCTAAGGCTCATACTGTGTGAATCGGCCCGTTATTGCACGTCATGCCGTTGCAGGAAATGACTTGTCGCGGGTGCTCGAGTGGGGTCCGGGTTACACAGGTGGCAACGTGCGGCCTCTGCTCATGCAGACTTTGGATGCTTTCGAAGTGTCATTGGATCGGTATGTTGGGTCTAGGAAGATGAGGTGCCATAGGGACGAATGATGCTTGCAGCCAAGTCGCCATTCTATTTGCTGGAATAACTCTGCGTGGTGGCTTTTGCTAGGTGGCGCGTCGATGTCGCACCTGAGAGCAGCGGAGAGCATCGCACTTTGACCATGTCCAACTACATTGGCTTTGGCCTCGATGCCTCCATTGCTCTGGATTTCCACCGAGTGAGTTTCTTGCCCACTATCCGATTGTGACGCGGGATGTTTTGTCCAACTGCCTGACCGGGGTGATGTGTATGGTGCAGCAACGCGAAGAAAATCCTCAGCGATTCACCTCGCGCACCAAAAATAAAGGTATGTTTTTGTGACACACTGTGCGTCTGCACCCTGTTGTTTGCACTTTCTGGGTCGTGTTTATTCGCTTGTGTCACACACACCTCACTCCAACATGCCACGTTCGTGTGCTGTTGATCCCTAGGTCTCTACATGCTATCCGGCATGGATGCCTTTGTGAAACAGCCATGCAAGAACATTTTGCAGGATGCGATACTGCTGGGAGATGGTCAACCCTTGAAGGTGACCGACTTTCAAGGCCTCATCATTCTGAACATTTCAAGCTGGGGCAGCGGAGCAGACCCCTGGGGTCGGGACGAATCGGACAAGTTTTTCGCCCCCTCCTTCAGCGACGGGTACTTGGAGGTGGTGGGCGTGCACGGAGTCATGCACATGACGCACATCTCAACCCACATGCGCAACGCCAAGCGCCTGGGCCAGGTTTGTCACCCCTTGCTTCCCGCCATGTTGACGTGTTTAAGCGGCCGGCCGGGGGCCGTGTCGGGAGATCCCTCGCCGGGCCCAGGCCTCATGCGTGCCTTGGTGTCTGTGATCTGTGGTCGGCAGTTTCAAACACTCGAGCTGAAGTTCTTGAAGCCCATGCCCATGCACGTGGATGGCGAGCCTTGGATGCAGGAGGCCGGAACTGTGACCATCTCGCGCCTGCCCGCCCAAGCACGCATGCTGGTACGCCGGGGTAAGCAGCCGTCCCGGCGTACCCGCGCCGACCAGGCCCTGACCGCGCTAGCGACCGGGGCCGTCAGCCCAGAGTTGGCAGCCAGTGGTGGAACAGAAGAGGAGGGTCGAAGCTCAGGTGCCACATCCAGCGCAAGTCTGGGTCAGACACTGATTCCTGTGCTGCGCGTGGAGGATCGTGAATGTGACTTTTCGACGTGCGAGAACTACAGCGCATATCTCGATGATCTGTAGCTTGTCATTCAAGTCGGGCCAGGTGCTGCTATCCTATTGTGTCTGTATATTATCATAAATGAACTTGGCCAGGCCACCATGTGTTGATAGGGCAAGCCCGGATGTAACGAAATTGCATCGCTCTCATAGCTCTTCCATTCCATAATCGAATTTATGTTCTTTGACGTAGCCACGTTTGTGTAGAGAGGCTTTTGGTGTTACCAAGTGACATTGAGACTCAATGCCCGTTTCCCTTGCAGCTGCTGCATGTGCACAGCTGTCCATCACACTTTTCACACTTTAAGCAAGAGCCACCCTCGAGAAGTGGTGCTCACTCACGTTGTGTTAAGGTGTTGCAGCAAAAACCCTCCCCTCCCACGTTCTTCCCTTTGTTGTTGGTTTCCCTTGGGTTCCGCCCACAAAGGAACCTCTCACACACACGCAAAAAAAAAAGAAAAGAAAGCAAGAGGGTTGTCATTCGCTTCACGTCCACCTCCGCATTCACCTCCACCTCGGTCACCTTCTCATCATCATCAGCGACTCGATCGACTCCCTTGCTGGTTTGGGCCGCGCGCGAAGTACGAGGTGGGTAGTCATGGCTTGTTCTTCTTGCGTGCAGCCTCTGTGTGCTTCTCCATTTGTGCCTTCTTGTCTGGGTGTTGTGTGTCTACTTGACTTGTCCCCCGCCAAGTTTTTTTTTGTTTTTTGGCTCTGAATGCGTCCTTGACCCGCGACTCGCTTGACTGGCTTGTGGCGGTGGCCATGCGAGGATGAAGCGCCAGTCAACTATATCTCCATACACCCCACTCGCCATGCCACATGCCCCGTTGATTACCCCGAGTTACACATCATATCATGCACGCACGGCCGCTGAGAAAGCGCCATTCTTGGTGATGGATGGACTCGTCACACACTCACACACAAAAGAAAGACTTGAAGTTATCATGGCTTTTCTTTTGTGTGTTCTCTCTTTCTCTCTTCTCGTTTTTTTTCGGCCACTTGTTGGATTTTTTTTTTTTTTTGTATCCTTCCATCTGTCTGGTTTCCTGGACTTGTTGTTGCCCTCTGTCCCGTTCGGCCTGCTTCACATCTTTTCATGCTTTGGGAGCGCGTCCTTGTCTCACTTCCTTGCTGTTTGTCTCCTTTTAGACGGCCAGACTTACTTTCCTTCCAAGCGTCGTTCTGGTCTCCATCTATGGCGCTGTTCGGCAACGTGCTTCCCCGATGCGTGGCGCAGCTCGATATTTTGGCTGATGTCGCCGGCCTCGATTGACTAGGCGGCGACATTCTCGATCCCCGTCTCAGCACTCCCTCGCTGAGCATTCGGCGACCTAACCGCTGAATACCTTTCTTGCACTCCCATCCCATCTTTCCGAAGAACATACGTTCTTGTTGCTCTCCTCAGCAACCCGTCAACCACATCCTTTTTTGTTCCCTTCCCAGACTTGGAAATAAAAAAAAAACCTGCAAACCGCCGTCATGGCCCGCAACCACATTAGTAAGATTTCTCACAAGAACATGCGTTTCCTGATCACGGATCGCCCTTCGGACGCCACTGTCGAGGACTACGTGCGCGTGCTCCAGCAAGAGAATGTGGTCGCCCTGTGCCGCGTCTGCGAGCCCTCGTACGATGTTAGCAAGCTGAAGGACAATGGCATTGAAGTCCATGACTGGGCCTTCCAAGATGGTGCCCCGCCTCCGGACGAGGTCATTGACAATTGGCTCCGCCTGTGCCGCGAAACCTTTGCGCAGCATCCCAATGGTTTTGTTGCCGTGCACTGCGTCGCTGGCCTCGGCCGCGCGCCGGTTCTGGTCGCCCTCAGCCTGATTGAGGCGGGCATGTCCTCGGAAGATGCCGTCCTCTTTATCCGTGAAAAGCGTCACGGTGCCATCAACCGACGCCAGCTGCAGTTTTTGCAAGACTACAAGCGTCGTGGCAAGGCCAAGGGTTGCATCATCATGTAACCTCGCTTTCAACCCTGTTTGGTCCGTCCAAAAAGGGGTGACATGAGCCGTGGTGCATCAAGCATGCTTTGCGCCTGTCTTGTCCAGACGGTCCGATATCGTTCGTCTTGTGCTTGTGTGGATTGAAATGCCGGTGCCCAAGAACGATAGCTGGTTGCCGATGAGTGACAAGATGCGCTCCCAATCTCTTTGCCTCAAAAACACTCCCCATCAATTGAGCTTAGATAGGACTTGTTCCATGTATTTTCCTTACTTATCCAAACTTATCGTTACTACCTTGGCCGTGTGCTGTTGCTGTCTCGGTTTGCGTTGAGAGGCAAAAGAGGCAGAAGGGGCACTGTTGATACAAGGATCTTAGGTCAATTTGGGGCGAAGAAGAACAAGGGCAAACAAATTTCTTTAACCGTTCAGCTGGCCACTGGCCACGGCGTTGTGGTAAGAGTTGGGATCCTCCTGACGCGGTGCAATCTTGATCATGTCATCAATACGCAATATCGTAATGGCGGCCTCGGTCGCATACTTGATGCTGTTGATCTTGGAAATGGCGGGCTCAAGCACACCATTCTTCAAGCTGTCACGGACCTGGTTCTTGGTCAAGTCCAGACCCACCCTAGAGATAAGGCAGGACACATACGATAAAATTGAAAAAAAGTACGTTAGTATGATCCCACTACCACAAAAGAACGACAAAGGTACAAACGGTAGGTGGGCATGGCAACAAAGCAAGCGTACCACTTCAAATCTGCCTTATCCTCTTGGGTCTGAGACATGTTGTGCACGGCACGCAGCTTGGCCACCAGTTCGGTGGCATCACAGGCAGCATTGACGGCCAGCGTCTTGGGAATGACCAGCAGGGCCTTGGCAAACTCAGCAATAGCCAGCTGCTCGCGAGAGGAAAGGGAGGTGGCGTAGTTCTCAAGGTAGATGGAGAGGGCGGCCTCGACGGCACCACCGCCCGGCACCACTTTCTTGTGTTCCAAAACGCGCTTGACCACGCAAAGAGCATCGTGCACTGCACGTTCCATCTCATCAAGCATGAACAGATTGGCGCCGCGCAGGATGATGGAGGCCGAAGACTTGGCCTTGGGTCGGCTGATCACAATCAACTCGTCATCACACACACGCTCCTGTTCCACAAGCTCGGCCTGTCCCAGGCTCGAGGCGTCAAACACCTCGTCACCCTCCATGTTAGCCATGGTCATAACGATGGAGCCACCAGTGGCCCGCGCGATGCGCTTGAGATCATCCTTAGCCACACGACGCACGCCCATGCAGCCAGCCTCCACCAAGTACTTGAGGTTGAGATCATCAATGCCCTGCGTGGTCAGGATGACGTTGGCACCAGTGGACAGAATCTTCTGGATGCGCTCCTTGGTCATGTCCGCCTCACGCTGGCGGATAGCATCCAGCTTCTCCGGGTCGTTGACCAAAACGTGAACGCCCATTTTCATGCGCGCCTTGCGCAAATCAAAGTCGAGGCACGCAATCTTGGCATTCTCCACGCGCTTGGGCATGGCCTGGGAAGCAATGGTGCAGTTGAGGGCGTAGCCATCAATAAGGCGCGACTCCTTAGCGCTACCACCGTGCGCCTTGAGGATGTTGACCGCCTTGACCGGGTACTTGGCATCACCGCGTGATCCTGTGCGCTTGACTGCCATCATGGCGTTGACAGCCATGTTGGAGAAAAAGTCCGACTCAGCGCCGATAATCTTGGAGCTCATCGAGGTGCGCGCTGCGTTGAGCAGAACCTCACGGCCCAGATCGTCAGTGTTGATGATGAGATGGTCCTGAATATACCGGATGGCCTCCTTGCTGGCCAGGCGGAAGCCACTGATAATTGAGGTGGGATGAATCTTTTCGCGCACCAATTGATCAGCGCCCTTGAGCAGCTCTGCGGCAACAATAACGACACTGGTCGTGCCATCGCCAACCTGGACCCAACAGCCAGCCCCAGCGAAGAAAGGAGATTGCAAACGCAATCGGTTGGTCAGGAGGACACCATGCAAATGTCCAGGGCCAAGCAAAGACAAACGAAGAGGAGACCACTCAAGGCGCGTGTTGACAAGGTCATTGTCTGCTGGAGAAGAAAAGTGGACGTACCTCCTGATCCTGAAGCTGAGCCAGCTCGACGAGAACCTTGCCAGCCGGGTGCTCGACCTCGAGCATCTGCACAATGGTAGCACCATCGTTGGTCACGGTCACATCCTACGAACATGTGCGAAGCAGCGTCAGTCAGATCAAGAGGCAACACTGCTGACCCCAGCCAAGTAGGCGCGACACAAGGGAGGAGACGGATGAACCAGAACAAGGCCAAGATCACCCCACATACCCCGACATCATCGACCAGCATCTTGTCCAGACCCACAGGGCCCAGGGAGCTTTTGACGACATTGGCCACGGCCACCGCAGCCGTCACTAGAACCCATGAGCAAAATGAGCGGGGAGCACGAATGGGTGGGTGTAGGCCTGCACATGAAGGCGGACGGAAGAGGGGTCATAAAGACCTGTCTTACCGTTCTGCTGTCGCACGTCATTACCGGAGACGCGCTCGCCGCCCAGGGCCAGCGTCTTGCCGGAACTCATGGCGAATGAGCTTGTGTGACGAGAGGAGAACGGTGTGCAAACTGGAAGAAGACGAAAAGCTGCGGACCAAGACGCTTAAGCACGGAGACTGGATGTGCCTATGATTGTCATGCGGTCAGATTTGAGCTCATGAGTTGATGCGATGCGCGCGCTGATCCCAAGCCGCGGGTCAACGACAACGTCTCTGCAACGACATGCTCGAAACCAGACAAGGCGTATGGAGCAAGCCCAAGAGCAGAGCCGAGCTGGGACTGAGATATTGACGCAAGCTCGGATGTGAGTCGCGTTTTTTTTTTTTTTCTTCTGCCAACGCTCAAGCTCTTTCCAACCACAAGAGACACGGCCAACAAGACTGCTGCAAAACTGTAGCACCCACGCCGTGTTTGCCGCACCAATGCCCACACCCCAAATCCTTCTCTGAATGCATCTCCCCAGCCCTTGCCAGCTGCCATTTGCAAACTCGCGCACACAGAGAGAGAGAGAGACGGAAACGGAGACGGAGACACACCACCACCGCCAACAGCAGCGCCAGCAGCAGCAGCACTTACTCTCAACAACCAAAAATACACACACACACTCACACTACACACACATGTGGTTGCGGCTTGGTCGACTTTCTTTTTTGGATGAACGGGCTTTCAACTGACAGCTGGTAGCGAGGTTCGTTGTTATGGCCCGGGAGGGTGGAGTGTGATTTTGGTCACGGTTTACTCGTCTTGACGTTGGTTCCGTTGATCCAGCAGGGGTGGGAAGATGGCTATTGTTTTGATGTCAAAAATGGATTCGAAATGATAGTCACAAAAAGCTGATACTTTGGTCTGGTTGGCGCTTGTTGTTCTGTTGTCATCACTCTCTTCGCTGGTCGCTGTGGCTGTTGTTTGTCGGTCATAGCAAACAGCTCAAATAAATTCGAGGTGATCTTGATTTAGAGCTCGTCCAAAAGAGGCCGCAGCTCTACAGAAGGGTCAAACGCCAAAGGTAGGAGGTTTGTGCGAGGCAGGCGGGAGAAAGATGAGTGTGCCACAATCAAGCAAGCAATCGGTTTGGTCGCGGCTGCTGCCGCGTGCAAACAACGTAGCCCAACCAAATATGGCCTCATACCAGGGGAGACACGGGGCTCGATGCCCAGGGCTTCGGCCTCGCGCTTCAAGTCACGTAGAGCATCTGCCCAGAGCAAGCAGCAAGGTGAGGTGCAATGTCGAATGGACGAAACACTGCAAAGCTGAAATGGTGTTGCGCTCGTACAAACCGTGAACGTCAAAGGGGTTGATCTCCCACTGCTGCATGGCGTCACCGGCATCACAAGAAGCGGTAACAACCTTCTGCTCGTGGACCGCCATGCACTTGCCCGTGTGATGGTGCTTCAACAGGCGTGTCGTGGCATCATAGTCCCAGCCCATGTCCAGGGGTCGCCAATCACAAAACGTAATTTCGTTCTGCATCACACAGCGCTCAAGATCCCGCATGGGTCGGATGCCCGTCTTCTCGAACAAGATCCACCTTTATGCAGCAGCGCAACAAAAGCACCCGTTGAGCCCATGCTGCCAGACAGGTATGCAAGACGCTACCACACCGACCCAGCAAATCCACACGCGCGAGATGCAACGTACTCTTGCGAGCGGGCACTATGGCAGGAGCCGACGCCCACTTGTGCGCCTGGCTGCGTCTTAAAGTGGTGGTCCAAACACACGTTGGCACCAACATTCTTGATGGCACCTAGCACAAATCGACCCAAGGCGAGGAGGACAGCACAATGCAGTGCAAGACAAAAGCCCATCAAAGCTTAGGCACAAGCGTCACAAAAGCGCCCCCAATGGCGACCGTTGATCCTGACCGCTGCCACATCCACACCCACACATTTCTTCGCCTCCACCACGGGCTGTCGTGACTTGACACACCCCATCTCTTCATGACAAATGCAAAGTATTCGTACCTCGCGCCAAAATCTGCCGCAAATCTGTCAGGGGAGACTCGGGAAAGACAGTCTCCAAGTACCATCTATCCCAGGCGTGCTGCACGGTGAGCCCCCCATGTCGAGGCAAAGGCCAGACACCGGTCAATCGCCAGACACCGGTCATGCGTAACCCACTTGAACGATTTGCACTGCAGACGCTCGCGTAGGTCGATCATCTTTTTCAAAGGACCAAGCTCCGTATGCGGGTTGCCCATCACGTCCTGACAATAGCAGCAGATGAGGACAAACGTGGAAACGTGACTGACTGGGCGCCGTGCAACAAAAGAGCCAGCAGCTTGCAGTCCTACCCGCGTGATCCAGCCAAACTCATCCATCCAGAGGGTGGCAGTTCGCAGCTTATTTTTGAGCACATGGTTGCCTGGGCCACCACCGGTCATGTGAATCAAATTCAAATTCAAAACAAATGTGAATGGAGCATCCGGTTTCCAACGCAACTTTTCGCTCAAGCACCTCCCGATATCCCAATCACCTTCACTGCGGGCGTGCGCGCAGCCGAAACACGCCAGGCGGCCGTACCAGGCAGGGAGTAGGCGCCGCCACCCTTGCGGAAGATGTGATACACGCGAGAGCACGGCTCGCATTCAAGCCGACCGCCACATTGCCACAATCGAAAGGAAAGCTCCAGATTCTCTGTGCCCCAGTAGCCCCACTCCTCGTCGTCTGAGCCCCACCGATAAGACAATAACAGCGGTCACGTGCACGGTAGATGGCTGTGAGAGTGAAATGCAGAAGGACACGTTGCAGTTTGCCTTGACAAGCCTCATCCCGCCTTTCCCGACCATTGTCCATGGCCAACACTTGAAGATGCACTTACAGCCTCCCAACTCCCAGAAGTAGCCAGTCCAGCCACCAAAAAGACCACCGGCCATGGTAGGAGAGCGAATCGAGTCCGTGTCTATACCACCACCAACACCACCCCGAATGACAAGCAAGTACACGCGTAGTGTCAACACCCAGGACGGTGCACCTCAGGGACGGGCAGAAGCGTATTGCTCCTCACCATGAGCGCGACGCTGACGCTCCTGCTCCTGGAGTCCCATCCCGTGCTCAATCAAGTTCCAAATGAAGCCTACAGCAGTAAGGCCCAGCAGACGTCAGAGAAAGCCCACAAAGCGTCCGTCTCCACAACATTGCATGCACACTGCTCCAAGGACGATTGCCTCGAACTCAGTCTCAACATACCCAGCGTGCAACCGATACCGCCGGCCTTGTGCTCAAATGTCTCGGGGTCGATGCTAAGGGGCGGGAATTGAACATTGGTAGCCATGGGCTCGGCGGTCAGCAACCCCGTGCGTGGACTTTTCCCGGTACTCTTGGGCTGCCAACCAACCTGTCAATCTGCGGCATGACCATGTTGTGGGGGTTCTGACGCAGATTATCCAGCAAAGGCTCGAGCCACCCCGGTTGCACCTCAATGTGTGAGTCGAGCACGATAAAGGTGGGGGCGCGAGCCTCGCGGATACCACGCAAGCGAGCCTCCACTAGTCCAGAGCGGTGCGACTGTCGCACAAGCCTGTCCGTTCCATATTGAATAAGCGCAGAGGCCATTTCTTCTAGACCCATACCACAGAGCGGCTGCCGTACCGAACTTTGGGCAGGAGAGCCACATAGTCGACGAGCTCATCTTGAAGCCAGGGCTTATCCGAACCATCATCAACGAGCACGATTTCCTTGAGCAGTTGAGGCGGCGATCTATGTAAAGTCATTCCATTTCAAGGACAGTCAAGAGAACAGAATGTGATCATTACCTTGGCGGACAAGGAGGTCAATCAAAGGCTGGTGGGCCTCAAAAATTGGGAGATAAGGAGGATGTGACAAAGAAACGTGGGGCATGGGGAGAAGCTCCTCGCCAGAGCAAAAAAAAGGGGCGCACGATGAAGCGAATCACACAAATCATACCGATTCAGAACACTGTGCACGCTGCGCATCAAGGGAGAAAAGGCTTCATTGTAAAACACAATCACCACACTCGTCTCGGGAATAGCATCCAGGTCGTAATGCAGTGACTTGCAGGCAGGCATACTACAGAGAGGCCAAGGAACGTGAGCAGGCATACAACCGTCAATTGAGCATCCCTGGTGGGTGCCATGTGTCTTGAACAGCGCGTGAACAGGCGCACTGGCGCTGGCGTACCGAAAATCGCTGGCCTCGCGATCAAGCGAGATACTGTCGCTAAGGCGAGCGTTGAAGCCGTTGCCTGCCAGCATCTTAAAACCTGTCTCGGTGGGCTTGTCTTTGAGCGTAAAACCTGGTGTGCCATCTGGCTTGACGCCCACTTGCCCATGAAGGCGAGTCGCCGAGGCTCCAGGAAAAATCAATGGCTTCTACGAACATAAAAAAACACGTGAAGCAGTGAGATGATCGCAGCAATGACACATGCATATAATTTTGTGGTTCAAGACACTCTTGCGCTATTTTACCTTCCCAAACGCCTCGTCATCGGACATGGTGTTGCGTGGAACAACATCGACTTCGGCAGCAACCTGCTTTACCGGATACGCCGCATGCCCCTAATGTCAGCAGCAAAACAGTAAGGTCGCGCTCCCTCGCCTCTTTCTCTCTATCTCTCTCTCGTTCTCTCTCTCTCTCTCTCTCTCTCTCTCTCTCTCTCTCGCTCGCTCTAACCAAACGACACGGACCAGATTTGAAGCATCTTCGCCCGTCTCATTTTTGTGGCGTTCAAGGGCATCCGCACGAGCCGCAGCCATGTGCTTATGGTGCATCTGCAAACAAAGCGTGCCGCATTCTTACATCAGGCGGATGTCGACGAGAAAAGTAGTGGAACTGGAGAGTGGCGACCAACCTTGTCGACGATTTCCTTGAGTGGATCGTTGTGCTGGACGTTGGGTTCATGGTGAAACTTGTGCTTGGGTTGCTGCAAATGCGTTTGAATGGGCGTGGTGAGAACACGCGCGGTCAACAGATCATGCGCGATCTCCTTCAGGTGGCTACGGGATACCTACCCCTTGGGGCACGACGCCAGCACCAATTCGTTCCACGGCGGGATTGACAGGCTCCTCACCAGCAGCTACGTCGTCGTCGTCGTCTGCCTCTTTTGCGGAAGCTGCACGCTTCACAGCCGCATTGGAAGCAGGGTGCGGATTACGCGCTTCCCACTGTGCCTGCCCTGACACCGAGCCTGCACCAACCATGATCACCAGTCAGCATGATCAGAGCAGCTGCTTGAAAGAATAAGTTGAGGCCTAGGTGAAAGTCAATACTCAAATACGCACCTGCATTGACATTGTCACCGCCTGAAAAAGAACGTGGGCAGCACAGAAGAGGCGTGGCACAAGGTCATGATGAGCGAACCACAAATTCAGCTCCAGCAGAGTTGGCTAGCTGAGGCAACGCGCGATCCGCACCACGTGTCAATAGGAACAGGCCCGACAAAGCCAGCAACAAAACCACCACAATAGCCACCAAGGGCCGCTTCCGAACTTGCACCGTCTTCATGTTGCGAGGACAGGAGCGAACGTTGTCGCTCCAACCCCTGCTGCAGATGCCACGTTCGCACAAGGTGAGCTCACCGTACTTCTTTCACCCGATCTCAAGTGTTTGCAACCCCCCCAAAAAACAAACAGTATCGTCTTGCTTTCACCCCGCTCCCCGACTACAGCAACCATCTTCCCAACCCCATTCCCGACCTGTCGAGCGGCCACCCTTTGCCACGACAACGCTGCCAAACAGTCAGTGCCACACACACTCACACACTCACTCACTCACACACACACACATACCAATGAATCGATCAACAACACACACGACAAGAAATGAAACTTTCACTGCGTTCGCGTTTCATATTTACTGCGGACACACACACACACACACACACCACGATGCTGTTGTGGGCGGTGGGACGAGGGCAGGCAGTCGTGGCAGGACGGCGGGCTTTGACGCGCGAGGCCACACCAAAATGGCTGAACATCAGCGAGGAGGTGCAACAAGCATTGGTCGAGGACCAAGCGGTCGTGGCCCTCGAGTCAACGATCATTAGTCATGGCATGGTATGATCCTGCTGGAAAGCTGCCAGCCGTCTTTTTAGCATGACCGCTGACACGCCTGAACATGCCTTGTCGGACCTCCTCTTCTTTCAGCCCTATCCAACCAATCTCGAGGTTGCACACGCCGTGGAGCAGGACATTCGACAAAACGGTGCCGTTCCTGCCACCATCGCCTTGGCCCGCGGCCAGGTGCACGTTGGTCTATCTAAAGCACTTTTGGAAGAGCTGGCCGACCCCAATGCGAAGGTCCGTCTCTGCGCAAAGCACGAAGAGGGGAGCCTGACTAGGGACTTTGTGACACAAGCACAAACGCACATGCCTGGTCTGGCAAGACTGACCAGGTCTGCTACACCCGCTCAACTGCCACTGATGCCTATCACTCAGGTTCAAAAAACTTCACGACGCGACCTGGCTCAGGTGTTGTCACAAGGTCAACTCGGGTCGACGACCGTGGCCGGCACAATGATTGCCGCTCACGCTGCCGGCATCGATGTTTTTGCCACTGGTGGTGCGTTTTGAAGCGCACGCCGCCGCATATGCTAGTCCATTTTAAATTGTGTGGCATGCCTCATTCCAGCCGCACCTCGTGCCCGAACCAATAGGCATCGGCGGCGTGCATCGTGATGGCGAAAACACCATGGACGTTTCTGCCGATCTCACCGAGCTAGGTAGGCGTTCCCTGTGATCGAATCAAGAGTCATTTGTTTTGTGTGAGGACGCATCCCAAATGCCCTGACTCTGCCACTGGACCTTGTTTTTGAAACATGCCCTCAACCTTCTCGGACGTGTGCTGGCAATGGTGGCTTGGGGTGGAACTGCAGGGCGAACCCCCGTAGCTGTGATTTGTGCTGGCGTCAAGAGCATTCTTGACATCCCTCGTACGCTTGAGGTGCTCGAGACACAGGGGGTGTTCGTGGGGACCCTCGGGAGTCAAGATTTCCCAAATTTCTTCTCTCGCCAGTATGTCCCGAACCCCCAGATGCTTGATTCTAGTTCTCAAGCTTCTGCTGACGGTCTTCTTGACGTGTGGGGCTGATTCCGATCATCAGAAGCGGTTGTGTTAGTCCAGCCGTCTTGGATGAAGCGGCGGCAGCCAAGCTCCTGCAAACCCATCGGGAGCTTCAACTCCAGAGTGGCATTCTTTTCGCCAACCCTATTCCCTTAGAGGCAGACCTCGGACACGGTGTGCTCCTCTACGCCTGTGGTTGATGCGAAAACCCGCGCTGCGGTGCACTCGAATCTTGGTGCTGAATACCTGCAATAACTTTTGCCTCAATGCTCTGCGCAGATGTGGACGCCGCCATTGAAGCCGGCCTTGCTGCAGCGAAGGTAGGAGTGAGCTCTTCGGGGGTGCCCTTGATTGCGCGACGCAATTCTGGAGTAACCCTTTGACCATTCTGGCCAACTGCAAGCACGACTCACTCAGCATGGGTCGACTCTCGCTTGTCAGGCGAGCAACGTCATGGGCAAGGACGTGACACCGTTCTTGCTGAGCTACGTCAACCAGGCAACTGCTGGGCGTTCTCTGCAAGCCAACATTGCTCTGGTATGGGCAGAGCTTGTCAAAGCACATGTGCTTGTACTTGAGTCCATTGGTGTGCTGCTATTCATTATTACATGCCTCCTCCTTCTCTCCACACCCGTGTCTTTTGGATAGGTCCGCAACAATGCGGCCACGGCCGCGCGCATTGCCGTTGCAGCGCGGATGCCTGGTTCTCGCCGTGACATGTCCACCCATGCTGGCTTGGGCCGTGCCTACGTACTGGGGGGAGCCACCGAAGACGTGCTCTGCCGCACCGACCGGTAAAGCCACTGCGCGTGACGCCTGTGTGCTGCAAGACCCTTGTTGACATCTAGCTGGGAGCGTGTTCAATCTGGCACCATTCCAATCTCCTTCGCGTTCTCTCGCTCTCTCCTCTTTCCTCTATCTCTCTCTCTCTCTCTCTCTCTCTCTCTCTCTCTCTCTCTCTCTCTCTCTCTCTCTCTCTCTCTCTCTCTCTCTCTCTCTCTCTCTCTCTCTCTCTCTCTCTCTCTCTCTCTCTCTCTCTCTCTCTCTCTCTCTCTCTCTCTCTCTCTCT